ATTATTCCTTGTCTGGCCTACAGGCGCTTTAGAAAATAGCTTGACCCCTTCCTCCCTGTGGCAGCCCCTCAAATATTGGAAGACCGCTATCATGTCTCCCCTGGTCCTTCTCTTTACTAGGCTAGCCAAGCCCAGTTCCTGCAACCGTTCGTTGTATGTTTTAGCCTCCAGTCCCCTAATCATCCTGGTTGCTCTTCTCTGTACTTTTTCTAGAGTCTCAACATCTTTTTTATAATGTGGTGAGCAAAACTGGATGCAATACTCTAAGCGTGGTCTTACTAAGACTTTATAGAGTGGTATTAGTACTTCCCTTGATCTTGTCTGTATCCCTCTGTTAATACAAGTTCTCTTTAACATACCATCTATCAAGCAGATAAAGTATCTCAATATAAATTTTTTTATGCTAATGTGGTTGGCTTCATGATACATATAACTCTGCTGTGGTTATGTATACTTTTATTTCAATCTTTAAGGTACCTTGCTTGATAATTCTTGAATTCCACTATAGATCGATATATATACATTATCTTTAATTTTATAACATATTCTTCCCCCGTATCATTAATGGAAAATATTTGAGAATGTATTTTACGGTATGGCTTTAAACAAATCATTAAAAGAAACATATCTAGGTTTTTGTCTTTTATGGATGTGAAAACAATGCTATCAAATCAGCTAAATGAAAGCCCAAGGGAAGGAAATCGCCTTTTTGACGCACTCATGTTGAAAATGCTGATTTGTATTCTGACTTCCTGTTTCTTCTGCACTGATTTTAATGGGCAGAGGTTCAGAACTCTAGGAATAGAAAAGGAAGAGTTGATAGTCATAATTTCCCATAAACTGCAGTTTTACATCTGGATACTTGAAATATATATAATTGGTACGACAAAGACATTAAGCAGCCTATTCAACCAAATTATTTAACCAATAAATTTGTTTTCAGGGTAAAAAATAAATTCTTAAAAGCGCTCTGCCTCAGTCCAGACCGGCTTGATGGTCTAGTGGTAAAGATGCTCACCTCCCACTTTAAAGGTTGAGAGTTCAATTCTAGGGAGCAGCATATTTCTCTCTCTTAGGGCACAAAGAAAAAATACCTGCTGTGAACTCCACCTAGGCATTAGGAAGGGCATCTGGCCTGTAAACTCTCAGCTCTATTCAGTCACTCCGATTCTACCCCTAGTAGGGATTATAGGGTCATAAAAAGGGAGGACTCTACCTCAGTCCAACTCTTCATATATACTGTGTGGGTGTGGGTGTGTATATGTTTGTGGGTGTGGGTGTATCTATCATAATGTCATCTTTCGGTAAAGCAGCAATATCCAAATCGCAGAAAAGAAATATATAACTAATAATAATAGCATGAGAGAACAAAGCAAAGCTAAAAATAAACCAGCAGTATCCACTATTCCTCTCTATATCTTTTGATTCTTACACTACCCTAATGGGTCTTCATTACCCATTCCATTCATTCTTACATATGGTTTACTCTTAATCATATTTAGGAACAGGCCTTCAACTCAACATTCATGCAAAGCATTCCATAATTCAAGCCTATTCATTTTATCAGGCACTTACTCTAAGTCAATAAATGTATCATGCTATAATCTTATTTTGTGCCACTCACATATTTTTCATGTAGAAGGGCAACTCTGTTCTATACACTCTTTGCCTATTGTACAGCTGCACTGCACAGCAACTTCCCAAATGCTGATCAAAATTCTATTTAAAATCTTTTTCAGGCACACTTGAGCAAGAATAATAATATTCCAGCTGACTTTGTCTTCATTCTTACCGCCTTTCCCTTTATATAGCAGAATAATGAGATTATTCTTCTAGTATTTAGGAACAAGTTCTATTTTCATACCTTTGCATTGAGCAAGTAATGCAGTCAGACTATAAACAAATTACATCCTGTTTCAACCTTTCTCCAGTCACACCATCTATTCATGGAGCACTTAACATTTTCTCTGTAGGTACATGATATTCTCTCTCTCTCTCTCTCTCCCTCTTTCAATTCTATCTCTCTGTCTCCTGCAACAATTTTCTATATTCATTTTCACATTTAGAGCCTTTCTCGCTTCATAATTCCAGCAAGCTTCTTTTTTCAAATTTCCCTGTCACCTGTTATGTACTCCCTCATCTTATTCCCATTCATCTATTCATGTCAGGTTACAGAATAATTTCCTCCCTCAGTTGCAGAATGTTACATAGTGTTTCCCAAACTTTACCCCTGTGTTCAAGCTTTTGGCAAAAGCAAAACAAGATCCTCACTTTTTTTTAAATCAGAGGTATTCAAAGGGAAAAGAGATTATGTGTGACAGGTATCGGCAATTGATTATTTTCCATTCAGATCCAGATGAAAGAGGTAGATATGCTTATTAGTCACAATACAATGTCAGCCATACATGGCAGATTGGGCTAACACACCAATACCATATAGATTAGTATTACTTTGATTATAACAGCTATTGTAACAGAATCTTGCAAATATGAATGTGCTCCCTCTGAACTATGACAGAGACTTGCTTAGAGATTGTTGTTGTTTTTTCAAGTTACTTTCTTGGCTTCTCTTATCTGACCATTTTCGGTAGCAGTTCTTCCTGTCCTTCAACGCGATTCCCTTTCCCCTCTGCATGGTTTTAGCCCTAGTTCCTAAAATCTTGTGTGTTTAGACCAGAGTTGATGTAATAAACAAGATTATAAAAGAGAAGAAAGATCACATAGTACTGTTAATCTAGCTGAGGTCCATTGCAACCGCTGAAATCTTCCTTGCTAAAGCAAGTAATTGTCACCAAGGAAGGATAAATATTTTTGTTCTCATCCAGTCCTAAATCTTGACTGAAAAGGTCCCGATAATCTGTTTTATCCAGAGTTCTCTATAAATATAGTCCAGCCACCTTGACAATACCCCCTGACAGAAGGAAAGCTAAAAAATAATTGCGAAGATAGTCTGTACAATGAATATCTTACTTTAGAAATCACTTTTTTTTCTATTGATACAGGACAGTTTGTGATTTCTTGGCTTGATATCAGCCATGTTGTAGCCTAGAGACTGGCAGTTGCCAAGGAGAATGAATATTTTTAGGCCTTGTCTATACTGTCTTACCAGTTGCTTTCTACATCGCCAGATGCTTGTTCATGCAAACAGCCAAATGTAATTTAGAATCCATTATGTCTCTTCAAGGAAAATAATGCCAAGAGGCAAACTTGTTCCTTTTTGTAGGTAACTGAATTACTAACAATGCCATTTTTGTATAAATAGAACAGCCATTTTTGAAGCTCTATGTAAGATGTGAAGAAATCTAAGATGGCTACTTGTACTGTTGATCTGCATTCATTAGACTGAATCGTATTATTTGTTCAGATTAATTGATCAATGCATTTTTTTCCAGATGAATAGATTAAAGCACCTTTAGGCCAATTCCTTTTGATCTTTATGATACTCTTTTAACAATCACAGGAAGACCTCGCTCACTGCTTAGCAACCATTTGTAGTTACAATAGTGCCAAAACAGTAAATTTAGCAATCCGATGGTCACATAATTAACATTTGGGGACTTTGCAACCAGCAGGTGCTTATAACTTGTCATAACATCCTGTGATTGCAAGATTGCACTTAAGAAGTCAAGAATAAATGCAAGTCTCAATAACATGATTTCTTGTTTAATGACCACGAGAGAGTTGCTTAACAACTATAGCAGAAGTGACACCAGTCTGGGGTGGTTGGATGTTTTTCCTCTTCATGATCATGTCACTTAGTGAAAGAGTTTCTGGTCTCAATGATGGTTGTTGTTAAGCAAGGAATATCTTTATTGTTTGTGGAATTGGCCAACTTGCTGTGGGACAACTTGCCACAGGACAATTCAACAAATACAGGAATATAGAAAAATAAAGAAAGTCAATCCAGAAATACAAGAGTTCCAATCATCTCAATGAAAACGTGATCACCAATGATAAAAGTAACTGAATGAAATGATGAATACAATGTTGACTTGTCCTGTGATGAGTTATCCTGTAGCGAATTGGCTGTGGCAAATTAGCCATAGCAAGTTGTCCGTGGTGAATTGGCTGCAGTGAGTTGGGCATTGCGAGTTATCCTAGGCACTATTGTTTATGCCTGTGCTTAGTGCCTTTTTGTGTGTATGCTGCTATATTAGTGCTGGTAGTTCTACTTCAACAGTCTTAACTAAATTCCCTCTCTTTGCTGCTATCCAGCAATAGTTCTCTAGTCCGAAAGACATCCATGTATCTTGCCAAGCTTCCTTGATAAGTGCTGTTCACTTTTGCAACCTTAGTTTGTGATGTTAACAGTATGTTAATGTGGTTCTGGGTAACATATAGAATTGTAACATTGACATCTGATTGATCCAGTATATAAATTGAAATGATGTGTTCATATATAATGCAAGGAAAAATGATATCAAACGTATTTCACAAATATGCTTTTCTCTGAGGATGACAAGTCCTGTAATACATAAGAGTTCAGTATTTGTTTTAATAGTGATTCCATGAAAGCCTGTTACTTATGCAATGTACAAGATGACTTGTGAGTTTGATATATGGTAAGCACTAGTTAAAGAAAGTATTGTATGTATGTATATGTAAGTACAACTTAATGTTTAACTAAATTCAAATTTTAATCAGTTTTATGGAAGACTTCGTTTTAAATTAGCTTTGGTTCCCTGCTGATTAGGTTTATTTCTTATCTGGTTAATCTCAACTAAATATGAATAAACTATCTTAAAAAGTTTTCTCCCCCTACAGAGTTGTCACATAGTAATCTATAAATTATTATCTATTGTCATTATTGAAATTATAGTTCACTCTCTGACAGGAATTAAGGATGTAGTTACAATTTTCACAGGGTATACATTGTGGAGCTGGTTCAATACTACGAGAAGACATGATGGAATGTAATAAGCTAATCAATATATTTGAAAAGGCATACAGTATTTGTGTTTGGTTTTAGTGTTTATGGCTTCTGTTTAATTACTCATTAGGTGATAAAGCCCTGGATGGTTATAGCAAGAAAAAATATGTCTGCAAGCTGCTTTTCATTTTTCTCCTGGGACATGATATTGATTTCGGCCACATGGAGGCTGTGAATCTCCTAAGTTCAAACAAATATACAGAGAAACAAATTGTAAGTAATGTCTCATACCTGCATAACAAAATTGTAGTTACCTTGTTTACCTGCTGGGCTTCAGTTGGGGGACAGTATTTTCCAATATGGCATGCTCAGACTTTTGAAATGTTATTTTATTTTTAGGGCTACAACCCCAAAATTTCCAATCCAAATTGTATATATTTTACTTTTAACTAACTTCTATTTTTAATGTTGATTTTTATACATTTAAAACCCTCTTTTTATATATGTATTGTTTTAAATTTATTATTATTATATACCACCAGAGTCTTCCCTCATGAGATGGGTGGCTATATCAGTCAGTCAAATGATGACTGAGAGTAATGGGGTATTTACATTTTTAAATTGTATAGAGATTATTGTATGGTTTGTTGTGTCTAGTTTTATTTTTCTTTCAATGGTGTTGTCCAGTTTTACTTGTGGAAGAGCACCTCATTTCGTTGCACCCGCTTGCGAGTGTAATGACAAATAAATTCTTATGTCTTATTGTCAATGCACAACATGTGTCCATTGAAATTAATAAATGTAATTATTAAATAAACTGGTATAGCATCCAGTCTTCAATTTAGCTGGCAAAAATCTGGGACTTGTCCATACATCTGAAATGACCCACATTGCAGCATGCTGTAGTAATAAATTATTGTTTTATCAAAAATACTGTTCATGTAAAAGTGTTCATAACGAAACTGTGGTAAAAATACTTGCAAAGATAAAGAAAATGAGAAAGCTGGAAGACAGATTGATGTTAAATAAGTAGCTAATGAAGCAGCAAGTAAGAAAATAAAAATGAGCAATCTGTATTAATTCAGTTTTCTGTGTACTAGATCCAATGCTGTTGTAAGAAGATTTAGAAGTATTGTACTGATAGGTGTATTGGTAAGGGAACTACTTAATAAATAGCTGTCAACACTGTAAGGCAAGATGCATTTCACAATACAAAGACTTATGCTTGCCTGCAGCAGTAATTTCACTGTTGACTTAACAGTTTAGGCTCATAAGCTAATTAATTTAATGAAAACTTTCTTCTAAAAATCTGTTTGGAATGAATTTTGAACAAAAACATTAGTTTTATAAAAAAATCATAAACATTGTTGCTTATAACATGCAAACGTCTTAGAAAACTAAGCACATACTGGAATTTTGTACACATTAGAGCTCTGTAGAGTCATTACTGGCTGAGCACATTGAGTCATCCTGCAGTCTAAAATCTGTAGTGAAGCGTACATTTTTAAAAAAATGTTCATAATCCTCTAGGCATAATCTGCAGAGGGCCGCATGCTTGGTGGGGCTGAAGCAAACAGAGAATGAAATCAGAATTAAATTAGATGGGTTGCAAGTTTATTATTTGGCTCAAAGACCCAAAGTATACAAAGAAAAAAAAAATGATAAAATTGTTAAAACTGTGAGATACATACTGATTTATTCAGTTAAATTTATTCTAAGCAATCATTGTGTATTCTGCAAGCTATATAACAATATTTAATGCTTTAACATCTTGCTTTTCTGGCAATAGATATTGGCGAAAGAATAAAACTGAACGCCTTTAGCTATGAATGAATTGTTCTAAAAGTTGGGCCCAATTGATACAGCAATCCTCCATGCTCTGTTTTTGGGCCTTCTGGGCCTCAGGGAAGCCGCTTGGGGGGCGGTTTTTGCTCCCAGAAGGCTTCCCTGGGGCCCAGGAAGGCAAAAGGAGCCCCCTCACATGCTCCATTTTTGGGCCTCAGAAGACTCCTGGGCGAAGCAGTAAGACACGGGAATCCCGGCACAACTGATCATCGGAACAGCTGATCGTCGGGCAGGAAAAAAAAAAGAAATACCTTAAGGAGTGACTGGGCGGGGGAGAATGCAGTCAGCGATGTCGGGCATGCGTGTGATATCGTGCATGCGCGATAACTGACTGGGCGAGGAGGGGAGGGGCGGGGCCAGCCAGAGCACAATTTGCTGGTTCTCTGAACTGCACAGAATCATAACAACCAGTTCTATAGAACCAGTCTAAACTGATAGAATCCCACCCCTGGACCTGACATTTGCTTCACTCTGTGTATATTTTATAAGATTTTTTATCCTACTTGGACCAACCAAATCTTCTATCAGGAATTTCCTATACATCCTTTCATGTATAGCTGTTGGTTGCACATTAAAGTGTGCTAATGACATACTTTTCCTGTAATCCTTTTAAATATCATTTTGTAATAAAATGTAGTCCTTGATTTACAACAGTTCATTTAGTGACCATTCAATGTTACAATGGCATTAAAAAAAGTGACTGATGATAGTTTTTCACACAACCATTGTAGCATTCCTGAGGTTATGTGTTAAAAATTCAGATACTTAGCCACTAGTTCATATTTATGATAGTTGCAGTGCCCTAGGGGGGTCGTGCAATGACCTTTTGCATTCTTTCGACAAGCAGAGTCAATGAGGAAGCCAGATTCACTTAACAACTGTCACTAACTTAACAACTGCAGTGATTCACTTAAGCAAGCAAGCAAGCGAGGTTGTAAAATGGGGCAAAATTTACTTAAAAGATGTCTCACTTAACAACAGAAATTTTGGATTCAATCACGATCGTAAGTTAAGGACTACCTATATCTAGCTGGAGGGGTACTTATTCTCCAACACCAATTGTTCCCTCTTCTCTATACCATTTTCTTCTTTTTAAGCAACTGGTCTGAGGTAAGAGACAGCACTTACCAGATAGGAGCTGATACCACGGAATTCTGAAATTGCATCAAGAATCCCCTATGGCTGTGGGTTATAGGTTGTTCACATTTGATTTGTACATCTGTTGCAGAAAAGCCTAGAATGAGATGGGGTGTTAGAGGTCATCAGCTTCTGTTACGTTATCCTAATTCTAGCCACTCATGATATTATAATTGACTAGGCAATTATAACATCATAATGACTAGACTTTCTCCTTAGCTGCAGTAGAGTACTCAGTGAGTGACATGTAATATAACCGAGGACTCAAAAGTAGAAAGATGCAGAGGATTTAGATCTAGTTTGATTTCTTAGAAAAGTATGCCCTTGGCATTGAAACAGAAAAGGCGTATTTAAACTTTTCTTCATTTATAATATACCAAGAAGCAAATGATTATAGAGCAGTTTTACATATACAAAACGCTTCCTACATAGTTGCTGGAACATTCAATCATCTTGCTGAGAGAAATACAGGTATAGGTTCTATCTTCTTTTCAGTTGAAGCCCAAACATTTGGTAAACATTGTTTATCTCACTCTCTGGTATTTTTAAAGTTAAAAATAGTTCATGGCAATTCTTGTGAAAGGTCAATAAGATATAAGTTAAATGAAGGCTATCAGTGCTAGTCATCCTGTCAGCATTTGACCAGTTACTTCACATTTTTCCTGCTGTAATTAAACAAATTCACAAAGCAAACCTGTAAATTGGCCAAACTTTAAAAGTTTTTAAATTTTTCTCGTATTTGTGATACAGGTAGTATGATTGAGTTACGACCATAATGGAAACTGCCCATCATGGTTGTAATTGATAACAGTTGTAAAATGAGTTGGTCACATGATTGACCCAATTTTATGGCTCTTTTGTAATGGTGATTTAAATGAATTACCATGGTTAATAAGCAAGCCCACAGTCATTAAGCCAAACAATTGTTTGCTATGGGTGTAGTTTTGCCAAAAACTAGAAGTAAAGGTATGGTCTGATTATGGCTGAAAATGGCTGCATATGCTGGCCATTTGCCAAATGCCTGAAGTGCGGTCACATGACTGTGAGCAGGAACTGTCAAAACTTTGAATCTGGGTCATAAATACTCCCCTACATAGGGCCATTGTAACTTTAAATGGTTGCTAAGCCATCAGTCGTAAGTCAAGAACTGCCTGTAATTTTATCACAGTGATTTTTCTTTCTCATAAGAACATTTTATCAGTCTGATTCTTGCATGAAAGGGCATTATGAGTCTCAAGTTGTATAACTTAAGATTCCTGTACAAAGGTTTATGGGCTTAATTATATGCCTGTATACATGGGGTCCTTTTCTCCTTATGACTTTATGAGGCGTTTTTCAAAATGCACCTGAAAAGCTGTTCTGAGTGATTTCTTTGAGGAATGTCAGGGACCAAATTGACAATCCAGATGTTCTTTCTGGTATATAGCTGTTTGTCAGCGTGACTCTTTAAAAGTCACAAAACTGCTAATTCAGTATTTAGTATCCCCAGCTGTCTAGTTCATCAGAAATTTGCATTGATTTTTAACTACAGTGAAAAATTGCTGCAGTATAACATATCTTGCTTCAAGACCAGGACATAAAAAATGATTCTTCAGCAATTTATATATTACGCATGCAGGAACCATTTTTCAAAACCCTTCCCATAACATGTTAAACATTTCCCAGTTGACACACCACTAATTATTCTCTTAATTTCAGGGTTATTTGTTCATCTCCGTACTTGTGAATTCAAACAGTGAGTTGATACGCCTGATAAACAATGCAATCAAGAATGATTTAGCTAGCCGGAACCCCACTTTTATGGGACTGGCTTTGCACTGCATTGCCAATGTGGGTAGCAGAGAGATGGCCGAAGCGTTTGCTGGTGAAATTCCAAAAATACTGGTAGCTGGGTAAGTAATATGCACAAGCTGAGTATTTAGTAGACAATTGAGTTTATTCTGTTAGATATAACAAGTATCATATCATATTTAAACACTCTTTCTCTTCCCATTGATGGTGCTCATGGTTAAAAATCCATCTCTTTGATGTTGACATTGGAAAGAGAGAACACCTATTTTGCTCCCAAAGGTTGTATTTGTTTGCTTTATTATGAATAAGGGCTTCTTCCAGTGTTTGAGAGTGATTATGTTTTTAAGGGTTGCCTTAGTGTTGGCTTTATTAGATAGTTAAATGAGGTGGCTGGATGGAGTCACTAAAGCAATAGACGCAAGCTTAAATTGACTCCAGAAGATGGTAGAGGACAGGAAGGCCTGGAGGTACATTGTCAATGGGGCTGGTAACTAACAACAACAAGATAGTTACAAGTTTGCAACTCTGATAAACGTCAACTTGCTTAACTGTTAGTTTAAATGCAGCATATTTGTATTTCTGTGATGTTTTTCAGAAGTTTATTTTTATATGTTTATTAATCAAATTTATATGTCCACTTATCTCACCAAGGGCGAATCTTGAAAAATCTCTTGTAATGTGTTTACATGTTGTAGTGAACCTATGTTATCTTTATGACAGCAAGAGGCAGCCTTGTAAAGAGGTTCTAAAGTTCGAAATGTTTTGTTACAACTAGCTGTTTAATCACAGTAACAATAAATATTTTATTTTACTGAGCTAATATAAAATAGAAATGTGAAGTTTTGTAGGGTAAAGAAAATTTCTCTGAGTCAACTAACCAGAAATCTGATAAGTTGAAGGAGTAGTGTATCAATTGTAAAATGATGTGTGTATTGGCAACATTCATTTCCCAATTGTGATTGTACATTTAGGAATTTTGCAGGTTTATATATTTTTCTGGTGGGGAACATGCTTTCTTTTCATTCAAATTTAGATGGTTATGCCAGAAGATTAACTGTGCACCTATGAACCTATCCCATGGTCTTCTAGAAAATGCCTCTATAAAAGTTGATGCCACTGGAAAAGTTCTATGCTATTTCAGTAACAAATTGATAGGAAACCTAAAATAATGTTCTATCACCTTTTCTCACTGTGATACAAAAGATTCCAGTTTATAGAATCAATGGCTCAACAAGATGATTAGTTTCTAATTACTTCTGTATGAAGTTTTTCTTTCCAGTATATAACTGGGTTGAACAAAATGTGTCCCAGGGAGTTTGGGGAGATCCTTTTAATTATTGACGGGATTGTATTTGTTCTTGCAGAGACACCATGGATAATGTAAAGCAAAGTGCAGCCCTGTGCTTGCTACGATTATACAGAACGTCTCCTGATCTAGTGCCAATGGGAGACTGGACATCAAGAGTTGTGCACCTTCTCAATGATCAGCATCTGGTAAGCACAGCTGAATACATTCCCTAGTTGGAGGTTTTCTCCAGATCATATCCAAAGTATGAGATGTTCCAAGGAAACAACATGGATTGTCCATGTGCTGCCCATACCTTAAAGAAATTTTTATTTTTGCCCCACAGAAACTGTGGCTCTATTAGTTCTGCCAGAATTGTGGACAGAAACATTTTTTTAATCCTGCAAATCTACTCATTAACTGGAAATTAAGGAATATTCTCAGATTACAAACTACTCATTAATGGAGAATGCAGGCCAATTCAAACTAGGCAGAAGCTCTGTCCCAGTTTCATACTTAACAATAGTACCTCCATCTTATCTGGATTTCATTTGAGCTTACTCTTCCTCATCCAGTCCATTACTGAACTTAGGTAAGGTTCAAAAGTATCAATTGCTTATTTGGAGCTAGATGATAAAACACAAGAGAATGGTTTGTTTCTCCCATGAGCTGTTCGGAGCATCCAGAAGTGGGAGGTGCTTCAGTCTCTTCTGGAAAGGCTGGGCTTAAAAATCCAGGACGTTCCTCCTCCTCCACGGGACACCTTCCCAGCGTCCCCCAGTTTTAGCTCAGCCTTCGTGGTAAGAGGTTGTGCACTCCCTGACTGGGATGATTTTTTGATTCACCTAGTCAAAATTCACGTTTGCTCTTGGGTTAATTCGGCTTGTAAATTTTCCCCCAATTAATTTGGCGATTTCAAGGCTTTTGGCTCTATTAGGTCATCCCCCCAATCAGTTTGAGAGCAGTTCTTTATGGCTGGTGAAGCGCTCTTATCTCTGCAATTTTGGCGGAGCGATCACAGCCGCGGCTCACTTCTCCTTGCCATTTCGACTGACAGGATCATTTATCTGACAATTTAGAGAGTCAGGAGCAGTGGCTCGTTAAACTGCTCAGGCAATTAACACCGGAGATTCTGCCTTCCCGTCATTTTCAACACCTGGCTTCAAGTTCACACCTAAATATCACAGGCGCCATTCCCCGCTGGTTTCCCTTCTTGGGGACCGGGGCAGGTACCTTCCCACTCCACTTCCCTGGCATTATTTCTCTTTTATCTTGCTGGCATTGGATAAGCAGGCTAGTCCTTAAACAGGATTTTCTTTTCTTTTTGCAATTGCTTTTGGATTATTACATTGGAGTGAAGCCGCAAGTGCCATTTCAAACAGCGGGACCTTTTTGACAGGAAAGGATCAATCCAGGCCCTGTATAGCTGGTTTCCCTTGTTGGGGACCAGGGATCCAGAATATTTCTTGCTTGGAGTGCTTGGGGGTTTCCCTTGTTGGGGACCCTTAGATACTGTTTTCCATATACACAGTTTTACATGTAGATATAGGCACGTATATGTATATGTATGTATATATATGTGTGTGTGTGTGTGTGTGTGTGTGTATGTATATGTGTATATATGTTTGTGTATAGATATATAGAGAGAGACTTACACTCCTGGAGAAGCGTTCTCCTTTCAACCACGGGTAGGCATCATCCCTAAGTACAAATAATAATAATAATAATAATAATAATAATAATAATAATAATAATAATAATTTTAAAAAATTAAAGTTAGAGGCACGAGAATCAGTCCTCCACAATGGAAGTTGACAACGTCTTCTGCTCCAAGACAAATAAGTCCCGAGATAAGTCAGTGGGCCCCAAAAAGGCCTCTAAGGCGGCGGATAAGGATGCTCATAGATGGCACCAAGCCTTGGAAAGGCATTTGCAGAAACGGGCCAGGGAGGCGGACAAGATGGCTATGACACAACAATCTGATCAGGGCCCAAGTACATTGTTGGGGCCCTTGGACTTATCCACCCAGCCCAGACAGGCTATTTCTGGACAGCCTCCCATAGGCATATCTCCTCCAATGAGCACTGCCCGGCAAATCCCAGAGGCAACCTTCACCCCTATGGCTGCCGGTTTAAGACAGGGGGAGGGATTACCTGAGACTATTCCCATCGAAATGAGGCAATGGATGGAGATGGCCATACAAAAGGGCATTGCGGCTGGAGTTCAGCAATCCATCTGGACCAGACACTTTTCGGCTACTTCGGAAGCGGGATCCCTGTCTGCTCGATCCTTTGCGCATATGGGACATCATAAAACTCAGGTGTTCCCCAATATTCCTGACATACCAGTCCAGGGTCTTCGGGAGGAGGTAGAATTAGATGACCAGGGTGTTCCCATGGAGGTGGGGTCGATCCATGAGATGGACTTGGAGTTGTCAGAGGCTGACCCACTAGAACGAGGAATGTCGGATGACAAAGGCCTCATTCCGGACCAACCTACCTTTTCTGGCCTTTTTCGTCTGCACCTCTTTAAATCTTTACTGTTCAAAGCAAAGAACACTGCTAAACTAGGCACATCAAGCCCTCATCCATTGTCAACAGGGTCTCAGGATGAATCCGAGGATCTAATATTCTCACAACTGGCTAATGAGGCAGAAACTATTCCTGTCCCTCGTATGTTTGCTGAATTAGTACAAAATCAATGGGCATCAGCAGCATCCTACCCAGCCCCAACAGGGTATGATAAACGATATTATAATTTGGCACCAGAGTTTTCAAATTTTCTCAAAACGCCGGAAGTGGATGAACCCATTGTGGCACTTGCCTCTTCTTCAACCTTTCCCAACGAGGCCAAGGAAGCCCTGAGACTGGAAGAAAAGAGAGCAGAGTTGGCACTCTGTAGGGCGCATGTTTCTGACGCCTGGGCCATTAGGGCAGCTACAGCTGCGTCCTTTTTTACACGGTCCTCCCTACGATGGCTCTTCCACTTGAGGGATATATTGCTGGCGTCAAATGTCAGAGCCCACCAGGACATTGCTAAGATTATTGCAGCAGCAGAATTCTCCATCGACGCCACATTTATTGCAGTCAAATTCTTGTCTAGGGCCATAGCATCTCACGTATCAGCACTGAGAGACTGCTATGGCTCAGACATTGGCAGGCGGATACCAAGCATAAATGCAAGCTGGCATCAGCCCCAATATCGGGGGATAAATTATTGGGAGTGTCCTGGAGCCCCTGCTTATTGAGAATAGAAACAAGAAAAAAGTGCTTCCCCCTCTTTTTCGGAGGTCTGAAAACAGAACGCCCCAGTCGTTTCGAAGGGGTTCCTTTTGGCCCTACTATCAAGGCCCATATGTTCCCAGATCGCAGAGAACATCAGGCTACAGGCCCAGTTTTAGACAGGATAGGTCGGAATCTTCCAATAGAGGTCAGCGGGAAGGCCAAAACAGAAGAAACCCCAGAGGTACCGGAGGCCGATTTTTTCATTGCCCCAAGTGAGTCCTTGACAGCAGCTCCCATTGGAGGGTGGCTAAAATTGTTTGCTGATCAATGGGACAGCTCCACCTCTGATGCGTGGGTCAGGGACTCTATTAGGTTTGGTTTGGCGCTAGAGTTACAATCCTCCTCCCCCCCTGAACTTTTTCACTAGGAGGCCTAGGTCCATGGATCCCATTAAGAGAGCGTTGATACAGGAGGCTATCAATCATCTTCTGCATATTCGGGCCATTAGAGAGGTCCCATCTGAACAATGGGGTCAAGGCTCTTACTCTCTATTGTTTGTGGTCCCAAAGAGTTTGGGGGGCTAGAGGGCAATTCTGGACCTCAAACATCTGAACAGATCATTGGTTTATCAAAAATTCAAGATGACTACTTTCCAGTCCATTCTGCTCAGCATTAGAGAGAACGATGTCTTGACCTCTATAGATCTCACAGAGGCCTATCTACATATACCAATTAGACCTGCTCACTACAAATATCTTTAGATTTTGCTATTGTGATCGGCACTACAAATATATCGCCCTACCATTTGGTCTGGCTTTGGCCCCTAGGACTTTTACCAAGGTCCTAGCAGCTTTGGCTGCCTCAGGATCAAATCTATTTGTTTACAATGTTATCTGGATGATATTTTAATTTTGTCATCTTCCAGACATCAAGCAAATTTGGATACCAAGATTACTCTGGAGACCCTTCAAGGTCATGGCTTTTCCATAAATTGGGATCAAAGCCATTTGATCCCTTCAATTAGGTTAGTTCATTTAGGGGCAGTGATAGATACCGTGGAGGGCAAGGTTTTTCTCTCTCAGGACAGGTTGAATAGTATCCAGTCTTTGGCCAGAGAGATCAGAGCCTTAAAGAGGGTTTCCCTATCTCAACTGTTAGGGAAACTGATTTCTTGTATTTCCATTGTGCTTTGGGCTCGATTCCATTCTAGAGATCTGCAATGGTTCCTGCTACCTTTCCAGTGATCTGGAAGAGCCACTTCCAATGTCCGGATAAAGGTATCGCACAATGTTCTCCGATCGCTCCACTGGTTGTCGGAAAACACTATAAACAAAGGGTGTCCTTTCAAGGAACCTTGCAGGGCAATGATCACAACCGATGCCAGCCTGGTAGGATGGGGAGCTCACTTCCAATCCCACACTGCACAGGGAAATTGGACTATTTCCGAACAATCACAAAGCATCAAACTGTTGGAGCTGTGAGCAGTTCATCTGGCATTATGCAGTTTTCTACCCCTTTTCCAATCATGCCACGTTCTGGTCTTGACAGACAATATCACAACCAAGGCCCACGTAAACAGACAGGGGGGTACCCACTCCAAACTTCTGATGCTGGAGACAGCCAGGTTGTTCAGGTGGGCCAAGGCCAATCTGTTTTCACTCAAGGCAGAGCACATAGCAGGGGCCTTAAACACACAAGTGGACTAGCTCAGCAGGGCCACGATAGATCCGACAGAGTGGTGCCTACACCCGTCTTTCTTCCAGGAAGCAGTGCAGAGGTTTGAGCAAATGGTGATCGATCTATTTGTCTCTCCCCTCAATGCTCAATAGCCTCGGTATATTTCAAGGTACCCGCCCTGCGATGTCAGTGGCCTCCCAGACTTCTATATGCATTTCCTCCACTCCCTGTAATACCCAGGTTGATCCAGAAGTTATTGGAGGAACGAGTGGAATTGATATTGGTCGCCCCTTACTGGCCCAGGTGAATGTGGTTCGCGGACTTACAGGACCTGTCGAGAGAACAACCTTGGAAAATTCCACCGTCGAGTGTTTCCCTCTTCCAAAGCCGGTACTTCTCCCGGACCCACAATGGCTCAGCCTAGCCGTATGGAGGTTGAGCTGAGCCATTTAAGGACCCAACAGATTTCAGAGGATGCCATTGCCACCATACAAGCATCCAGACGGTCCTCAACAAATCGTATATACAAGGCCACGTGGTCCGCTTTCTGTCGCTGGTACTGGAGGTCTAAGATCGACCCAACCGCCCCATCAATAGGACAATTATTGGACTTTTAAAGGAGGGGTTGACCAAGGGCTTATCTCCAAATACTTTATGCAGACAGGTGGCAGCCTTAGCCTCGGTGATATCCTGGGGTGACCTTCATTCCATAGCACACCATCCACATGTCCACAGCTTTTTTAAGGATGCTGCAAACTTATGACCTCCTGTAATTCACCGCTATCCCATTTGGGAGCTCAACAAGGTGTTAACCACACTTACAACTGGCCTGTTCGAGCCTTTAAGAATTGCTAGTCTCAAATTCCTGACATATAAGGTGGTCTTCTTAATTGTGAACACATCAGCAAGGAGGATTTCCGAATTGGCAGCATTGTCGATGAGAAAGGACCTGTGCGTGTTTCATGCAGACAGAATGGTTCTCAGATTGGATCCATCGTTCACCCCTAAAGTAAATTCAGTCTTCCACAGAGCGCAGGAGTTGGTGCTTCCAAATTTTTGTCTGAAATCATCTCATAGACTGGAGCATCAATGGCATCGACTTGACGTTCGAAGGGCGTTAAGCATCTATCTAGACCGCACGGCAGCATTTCGAAAATCTGAGGCTCTATTCCTATCCTTCAACCCATCCACTTTAGGACACAAGGTGTCGTCGATGACCATTGGTAGATGGTTGAGAGCCACCATAGCTAAAAGTTACGAATGCCAGTCCATCTCAGTTCCTAAGGGCATTACAGCCCACTCAACAAGGAGTGTGGCAACATCAGCAGCATGGGCCACACGGGCTTCCATAGACGAAATTTGCAGAGCAGCAACTTGGGCTTCACCATCGCCCTTTGTCAGAAATTATAAAATTGATGTCTTTGCCTCAGGGGATGCTTCATTTGGCAGAAGAGTCCTGCAGATGGTCCACAGAGTTTAGGAGTGGATTTCGATCCAGACGGAGTCCCTCCCTAAGGACAGGCCAAGCTTTGGTATGTCCCACTTTGGATGCTCTGAACAGCTCATGGGAGAAAGGGCGTTGGTACTTATCTGATACGCCTGTTCTCTGTGAGCTGTGAAGAGCATCCAGCCCCACCCATTTCTTTCCGTCTGGTGGGGTTCCGTTCTGGTCAGGGATCTAGATTAGGTGATGAGTTCCGGACTTTGGCACCCGGAGTTTTAAGCCCAGCCTTTCCAGAAGAGACTGAAGCACCTCGCACTTCTGGATGCTCTTCACAGCTCACAGAGAACGGGCATATCAGGTAGGTACCAACGCCCTTATTAGCTTACTGCTAATACCCCACTTCAAAATTCCAGATGATGTAGATGTTTGACAACATACAGAATTAAAGGAAAGCTAGAAACAGGGGTGGGATTCTACCGGTTCTGTCTGGCTCTGTAGAACTGGTAGCTCTGAAGTGCAGCAGACATAGAACCGGTTCTATGTGTGCTGCTGTTTTGACCCACCGCCCGCCCACCCAGGATCTTACCTGACCTTTATTTCCTAGTTTTTCAACCTCAACTCTTTTGCGCAGCACAGCTGTGGTTGAAAAAGCATCAAAAAAGTGCTTTTTCAACCGCTGCGCACACACATGCGGCACTGCTCGGCTGTCCAGGCAGCAAGCTGACGACGATTCACACGCACATGCAAATTGTAAATTACCGAACCGGTAGTTACACCAGTCGGATTCCATCCCTGGCTAGAAGGTAAACAATAGTCCTCAGCACCACCTTCTGGACATGGCATGAGAAGGTCTGGAATAACTTAAAAAAGGTGCTCCTGATGCAAATCCATAGCTGGCCGGTAAGAATAACATGGGGAAGGAACTGGATCAAATATTGCTGATAACGAGATTTTGCTTTGCAGTATCCCTTTGTCTTGATAAGGTAATTTTTAAAAGCCATGTTAAATCAGAGTCTCAAATACCTTTGGAAAATATCTGATCAATGAATGTTGAGTTATGCTATTAAACGTTCTTACTTGTTTATATTTCTTACAGTTAAAAATAAAAAAAACACTTGAAGTAGAGAAAGAGAGCTACTTTTAGGTGGCCCTATTGTTTAATAGAATTCAGAAATTTACCACCTGAAGTCCTATGTGAGACATATGTGTCATGTTAAAGGACACAATGGTCTTCATGGGCAGCTGTGAAGCTGAGGAACTTGTTTCGACAGCCAAGCTTACAATCCTATAACACTCATATCTATTTGCACTTACCCCAGACACTGACAATATTTTGAATATTCCTTGACTGTAAAATCTAAGCACTATCATAAAATGAAATTCTCTTTCACCAAGCTTATAAAATGGAATATAAAACTTGATTGTATTCTTTGGGTGTAATAATAACATAGGATACTTATGACAAATTTAAGCCTGGAAATTTTAAGGGAACTATAAAATTGCTTTTTTTTTTTTTTTTGCAGGGTGTGGTTACAGCTGCTACCAGTTTGATCACTACTCTGGCTCAAAAGAATCCAGATGAATTTAAGACGTCAATATCTCTGGCTGTTTCCAGGCTTAGTAGAGTAAGTAGATTGTTGGCTAGACATAATGGTGGAGCAAAATAAGTCTAGAATGTAAAAGTGGATAATTGATTAGGTTAATAATTTCAAGTTCTTACCTGCAAAATGAAAGTACAGTTGACTTTGAGGCCAATCTGACTGTGTAACTTAACTACAAATTTCATTGTTGGCTTACTTACAGTAACCCTCTTAGCCCTTTTTAATGGATTTTGGTAACATATGTGTGAGTCTTAAATTTGTGTTGAGAATATATTTGCAGCCCACCCGTTATTAGATTTTTATGTTGGCATTTATTTATTTTGTTCAACTCAAGATGGCAAATGTACATAGTACTATTTTCTCCCATATAAAATGTACCTCTTAAATATAGGTATAAACAATCCTAAGTATACTTACGGAGAGTCACTTCAGTGTAGTGGTTAAGATAGAAACTGGATGACTATGAATGCTAGTCCTACCATAAACTGGGACTTTAGCCAGTAACTTTCACTCAGCTCTAGGAAAGAGGCAAAGGCAAGCCATTTCTGAAATTTTCCCAAAAAAATGACAAGAACTTATCCAGGCAGTTGCCAATAATCAAAGACTTGAATCAAAAGAATTAAAGTATATTTAAACATTAATTGTACATGCCTTTTATTCAGATTATTCACCATTTGTATGGGCTTTCCAACTGAAGTATTTAAAACAAAGCCATTAGCCTTTTTAATTATAGAGTCTAGGAAGTTCATCTATTTTAGTAACTGGACAAAGAACAAATAATACAAGTTGAATAGCATCTGCAGATTGTATTGTGTTGTGTTGTTATATTTTTAACCTGTGTCAATAGTTCATTTGGCCTTTTCTTAGTTTTATTAGTGTCTTGAAAATTGTCCTCTATTCAGCAATGTACTACTGAACAAATATTATCCTCCTGGTTTAACTTCAGAAATCTGGATTTTCTTTTGTGGATTATTTCTTTAGGTAAATGGAATAACTTCCTGTTCCTTGTCCCAAAGAGAAATATTTATATGCATTATACTGCAATCTTAGATGGTGAATAGTAGCTGAGATGATGGCATCTTTCGCCTCTCCTGGAGTCAAAACTTTAGTTGCTAAAGTTCCTAAATCCTTTTCAGGCCTGTGTGTGAACCACAGCTTTTTTAATATATGAAAGCATTAATTAATTAATTCCTTAATTCCAGCCAAGTGAAACCTTTAACAACAGAAATGGAATCTTGGTGCAACTTTACGAATTTTCAAAACTTAATTCTGGCTTGAAGCAAACAATTATTTAACTGACTCTGGTAAAGGTCATGATGGTCATTTAATCAATTGCAACTTATCAGGAATATGACTATCAAATGCTGATAATGGGCCAGTAGGGCAATTTTAAAAATGCAGAACAGGCTAATTACTGCATATGTATCCATCCTTAAATACTCTCCTATACTTCTCCTATACATTATCATATTGTATCTTTGCTATCCAGTCAGAGCAATGCAGTGTGGGAACTGTGGCACTGATTGTTGTCATATAACAGAGCAAAATATCTCCTGAAAAATTTTATCTGGTCTGAACTACTTCCCATTTGGGGGTCATTCCCAAGAGGATTGCCTGTAATATGAGAGAGCAACAGATGGTCAGCCCAGGACAAATGCCAAAAAAGTATTAAGGCACCAAGGGACCAGTTAAGGTATCAGGGACATCAAAAATATTGCCGCTATTACTCTGCTTGCCATTTAGCATTTACTAAAGGTAGGGCTAGGTCTGCATTCTGCAAAATTGTATAATTTACTTCCTACTTTCTTTTGAATGAAACTATTATTAAGCCTAAATAGAGAACAGAAATAGATCCATAAGGAACAAAGAGTTGTACCCAAATCCCATTAGCAGTTTCTTTATGATATGTCATCTGTGTGGACTTTCTGGATTTGCTGGAATACGCTGTTTAATTGTTCTCAAATAGAAGCTAAGTCTTTGCTAATTAAGGGTATAAATGAATATGCAAAATTCTGAAGCGCGTGTGCATATGCATATTTGTGTGCTAAGATGTTAAGCATAAGACCATCCCACCCAGCTCTGCACCATTACATACGATACATCGTATTACATCCTATATCGTATTACATACGATACATCGTATTACATCCTATACCCTGCTCAGACGTGACAGCAAAATGTTTGATGATGGTTCAGCACATTGATAACAAAGGGAACCGAAGTCTCTTCGACATCCCCGCTTGCTTTTTGCTTTTCTTCATCAAACTTGGTTCAAAATGAGCATTTTGTATCCATGATTATTTTGTTCTATTTTCCCTGACAAATCTCAAGGACAATGTTTTCTCTTACCCATCTGTTAATCCATATTATTGTTTCCAACTCTTCAAAATTGGGCCCAGCTCTGTCTGCCACTGTCAGATTTCCTGTCCTGTGTCCTTTGACAATGCTCACGTCTAGACTAGTACATTTTCATATTCATAAGGGGAAAAAAAACTCTTAAATTACCCCAGCCAACCTATCTCCCTTAGAAGCCATGTTAGGTGTTTTTTTTAGTTATGAAGAGTCTTTCCCTTCCTGCTTTGAGTCATTAGTCCAGCCTCAGTTTTGACACAAGAGTTGCTGTGTATCTCTCTTCCATTAGCTGACCAGTTTCCTTTCCAGAAAAAATATTGGAGTGCAAAAGTGGCCTAAAAATCAAGAGTTCTAGTCCTCCTTTTAGGCATGAAATTTGGCTGGATGAGTTTGCGCCAGTCACTCCCTCACAACCTAAGCCAACTCACATTACCTTGAACTGTACAAATCTGAGTTATACAAAATAAAGGCAGCATTTAACAACAACAGTAAGAATAAGAATATATCAAGAAACAATTATGCATTTGTTTGCATTTTCCAGACTATTGTTCCTAAGAATTGTGTAAACTAATAGCAACTTATATTAAAATATTTACTACTGTACTCTATAGCTTATTTTTGCCTTTTGTTTGCTCTGAGAAGTGCTTGAATGTTTATTAATTTGTGGCACACCTTCCACTTCATCAGTGCTCAAGCTTCTGTGTTTGATTTTCTGGAATTTTAATTCCTTTTTTCTTAGACTTCATTAAAATTCAGAATCTGCATTGTGCATTCCCTGGGCTTACAAAATGTCACCAGAAAGTAACAGAAAATTTCTACTTTTAGATTGTGACATCAGCATCTACTGATCTCCAGGATTATACTTACTACTTTGTCCCTGCTCCATGGTTGTCTGTGAAGCTTTTGAGATTGTTGCAGTGCTATCCTCCGCCAGGTGAAGTAATGAAAAACTGTCACATTGTCAAGCTTCCTTTAATTAGCAAAGAACAGCTGATAGCATTTGAAATGTATGCATGTGATCATGGAGATTGCAATGTATCAGAAATTAGAATAGCTATGTGCATGCTCACATATGCTCAAAATCACCTTTTCCTCTTTGAATCCAAACTGCTGTAGAGTGATGGCGGTTGTTGTTGTTTTAAATAAATACAACTGTTTAAACAAGCATACCTGGTTCTCAGTATTTTGGAACAAATACAGCTTGGCTGAACAAACATTACCTGGATCCAACTCCTTTAACGAATACTGTTTGGCTCTTTTTTTGGTTTACTGCCATTTGGCTATTTTAAACAAGTGATTTAACTGAAGACATAGATAAAATTCTTACAGATTTATAGGAAACAGAAAGCCCAGAGAGATCCCTGTCCTCCTAAAAGGTAGAACAAAGATTAAAAGCAATTTCTGGCCCAAATCTGCAAGAGGCAATTCAGCCTCCATAAGTTCAGAAAATATTTAGCAGATTGGAAGAGATCAGGCATGGTAGCAGTATATGTGGAAAAGATACCCTGGTTAATCCGAAGTGGTACATGAACTGCCAATGTGATGCCACTATTAAAATGCAGTCGTAAGATACAATATCAAGCACATACCGTGTTTCTCCAAAAATACGGCCTCCACCAATAGGAAGGCCCAGCATGATTTCTAGGCATGAGGTGAAATTAAGCCCCGCCCCCCAAATTTAGGCCTATTCAAACCATGCTTTTCCCCGCCATTTCTCACATCGTTTGTTAGAACTACACGAGGTGAAGAGAAATGGGCGAGGGAAGGGCGGGGGGGTGGGGAGAAAACTTGCCTTTAGGAGTGCCCTGCAGGTAGCCTAGGCTAGAATACCCCGATAGCCGATAGAAGCTCCCTGAAGGCAGAGTACCCAACCGCTTCAGGGCGTGGCTACCCTTGTCCCCTCGCTTTTAGGGCAGTCTCTTTCAGGCGATCGAAGCTCCCCAAATGCAGTCACCAGCTACTTCAATCGGCCGGTAGAAGTGGCCTTCGCAGTGAGGGGAGTGTGTGTGTGCGTGCCATGCCTCTCCCCGAAGCGGCTGGGGACTCTGCCTTCAAGGGAGCTTCGATCGGCTGGTAGAAGCGGCCTCGGGGCGAGCGCACACACACACACACACACACACACACACACTCCTCTCGCCATGAGGCCGCTTCTTTTGGCAGACGAAAGCTCCCTTGAAGGCAGAGTCCCCAGTCGCTTCGGGGCAAGGCATGGCACACACACACTCCCCTCGCTGCGAGGCCACTTCTACCGGCAGATTGAAGTAGCTGGTGACTGCATTTGGAGAGCCTCCCATTGTGCCAAACATGATTAGCTGGGAATTGTCCCCCTGCACTTAAATTCAGTTTGGCTCATTCCAATATTATCAAATAGCCTAACACCAATTAGTTGTAGTATAGTCAGAAATGGTGACTGTTGGGTTATAGCTTATTAAGAAGCAAGGTTGGATTTCTCAGCATTCCTGATCCATCCTTACTCCATATTTGCCTGATGCTGGAAGGCAGACTGGAGAGAATCTTCCTCTGCTTTTTCCTTTTTGACAAACCTACAAAGCTCTGAGAAACATTGTGGCGTAGGAAGATACTCTGTGGAATTTTTGTTTTAGTTCACTACTGCCACAAACTTGACCATTACATGGAAGGTGCTGTTGTTTTTTTCACTTAAAAATGTAACTTTCTGCATTTTTCACATACTTAGTGTTGTGTCCGTACGGCTGCAGACATGCAATAACTGCCATGAGATATAATTGGCTAACGGCACAGCAGGTGACCGCTATATAAGGGAGCTCGCCAGCTGTTAGCGTTCGTTGTGTTGCAGTTGGAATTGATTACTTACTAGTAAAGTTGTGTTGTGGATCCTTGTCTCTGGCTCCTTCTTTCCCACGATCAAACACTTAGGATTGGAATTATTTAATGCTGTGTATTGTATTGAAGCTAACAGCTGCTCAAATCAGAAATTATTAGGTACTCTATACTTGCAGGATATGTTATTCCATATGTTATCTGGAAATAGCACTGAGTTTTTCAATGAGCCATTTAAAAGACATATAGTAATAGTATAATTTTACATTGTTCAGTGAATTTGCCTAATGAGTTTCTTTCTCCCAGAAGACCCTTCCGTTCGAGGACGTCTCACAGAATGTCTGGAAACTATTCTTAACAAAGCTCAAGAACCTCCTAAATCAAAGAAAGTGCAGCATTCAAATGCAAAGAATGCTGTATTGTTTGAGGCGATTAGTTTAATTATCCATCATGACAGGTAAGCTTTGGAGGGAAACTGTGCTGGGAAAACTGCCCTGCCCTTTTAAAACCGCCCTGAACTGTGTAATTGCATGTCACTTCAAAGACCTGTTCCGTGGCAATTTCCAACTTGAACCTTACCAAATTGGAAGAATTAGGAGCTGTTCTAACAACAATTTAAGTTATTCTAAAGTTAAGCAAACAGGGATCGTTCATGCTAGAAAACACTGTAACCCGCAACATGCCATAACAATCTGGTCTTTCTCCCACTCTGTTGCTGGCTCCTTGATTTGTATTTTGTCTTTCTTAAAAAACAAAAAAAGGAAGCAAACATTCAGGGTGTGAAGAGATTACTTGAGTCCTTTGTTTTACTTTTAAAATAGTTTTACTTTGCATGCCTGAAGCATAGGAAAAAAAGGAGTATACAGGAGTGGCTCTGTTTGCAGCTGTTCCTGAACTAAACTTGGTTTTTCTGGAAGACTTACTGGTTGCTTAATCATGGAACCACATGCCAGATTAGATACATTATGGTTTCATATGGTTCCCTGGATTTATTTCCTGATTTACTCAAGATCCTAAACTGAAACACACTTCGTTTAGCATGTTGTATAAATCAGGTACAACCAATGTGGGGAGTCAGGAAAGATGTTCTAAGCAAATATTTTTCCTATTGTATTCCATTTCAGAACTCTACCTAAAAGAATGACTTGAAAATGAGTCTCAGTCACATGTCTTCATAAGTGACAGTACCATAGTGCATCTCAAACCTAGCTTTGCTCTGTGCCTTAGAATGACAGTCTTGAATTCATATGCTTTCCCTTGAGAGGACACATATTTTTGAACTTGGCCAAACATTGTCCTTACGTCATTTATTATCAATGCATTTTCATTGATTAAAAACAGTGCCAAAATAGGGGATACTTTGATGCTGGAATAGCATAGTAAGAATGAATGTAATGAAGAAAATCACAAGAATCTGTTAAATTGTTTTCCTTAGATAAGATTGATGCAAACAAATACAAGTAGCTCTTGGTCATAATTTCATGATCCAAGGTTTTGTATTTCTATGGTTGGTAAGGAGAGACCATAACTGATAAAGACTTTTGGGAAGATATAGGTTTTAACATTTTTTTTTTTGGTTACTCTCTAAATGTGCAAAATAGCAGGTGGGCTTTTGTGCATGTATAAAGTACAATTTTAAAGATCCTTGTATCCAAGGTCTTGGTTTCCATAGTTGTAGGATGGAACTGAATCTTTATGAAGAATAAGAACCATCTGTACATATCTGCTTGGCAATTGTATGGTATTATTTTGTCCTAATTCTTAAATTATGGGAGATACTGCTCCAGTTCACCCATGGATAATTCCCATGTGTTTGTAGTATTGTAAAATCACAGAGAATATCAGATGTTACTTCCTGAATCCAAGAATAATCATAGGAAGTAGGTTAATAATCTTCCTATGCCAATAACTATATTGATGAGCTCATTGATATCACCAAAACCTTTAATTTTGATGAAAGCATGGAAACAAAATATGCCAACAGAAACGAGACAACATCTACATTTATTGGTGACTAGAAAACCCTTATGACATTTAGCATAAAAATAGAAAAAATTAACTTGTATTTTATGGTTTTGATCTTTAGACATGACAGAGTATAGAAAGAAGAATGTCATGATGTACCTTGAGAGAGAGAGAGAGAGAGAAGTTAAAATATAATTGGACTTAATAACTATTGTGAAGAATATCAGAAAATATTTCTTGATGCCTTTGTATCTTGCTTTTTTCCCCTATTTTCTTTTTTACTACACTTTTAGCTATTTCTATTTCTTTCTTTTTCATGTTCATTGTTCCAATATAATTTGAAAGTGTGTGTGTGTGTGTGTGTGTGTGTGTATCATCACTAGAACATCAGGATTATACATAATTTTGTGTGTGTGTACATATGTATATGTATATATTTGTTTTCTTAAGTTTTCACGGGTACTTACATGTATGGCATTCAGCTTTGTTCGGGTATTTTCCCACATCATTGTAGTTGTGCTACAACTTTAAAAGCACAACTACAATGACGTGGGAAAATACCCGAACAAAGCTGAATGCCATATATGTATATATACATATACATACTACACACACACATATATACATATGTATATATTTGTGTGTGTGTATGTATATATATATATATATATATACACACATACACACACACACACACACACACACACATACATACATATACATATATGATAATGTATTTTATATATATATATATATATATATATATATATATATGATTAATAATATATATTATTATATCAGAATTATATGTAATGGACTGTATTACCCCAAAGTGCACACTCCCAGCTCTTATGAAATGCTCTGTGAAAATGATACAGGTAAAGCTTCCTGCTTTAAAATGGAATCGTACTTACTATTATTACTAACATTCAGAAGAATTTAGCTGCACTTTTAATGGTAATGAAGGTACTTAAAAATGCTCTCATTAATGCTCTCTAGTAGACTTTTGCTACTGATTCTTACAGTTAGTTATCTTTTTCATTCTTTCTTCTGCCTAGTGAACCAAACCTGCTTGTTCGTGCCTGTAATCAGCTAGGCCAATTTTTGCAACACCGGGAAACTAATCTTCGTTACTTAGCATTGGAAAGCATGTGCACGCTTGCCAGCTCTGAATTTTCACATGAGGCTGTGAAAACACACATAGAAACAGTGATCAATGCATTGAAGGTAATGTTTGGTTCTGTGTATTGCCTACAACCCTGATTCTTCTGCTTAATTGATTTTTATTTTATTTGTTTAAATCATTTATAGAGCTGCCTATCTTATCAGCTCTGGGTGACTTCCAATCCAATTTTAAAACAGCATAAAAGTCATAGTAAAACAATAAAACTAAACACATAAAAACAACAAAAACCTAGCACCAAATCAAATTTCTGAAATGTATGTTATTGTTTTTTCTAGCTAGTTATCTCCAAATTTTTATTATTAAACTATTACCGGCTATGAAAATGTTTTTCCTTGCAACCTCTTTAAAACATTTCCTAACCCACAATAAGGGTCAAGTTTTTTTTACCAATTAGGCCATGCATGAACTGTAGTTCCCATTCTGTACTGCAGTATCAAAATTTAGCAAGTAGAACAATGCTGTGGTGCTAACTCTAAGAAGAGCACTCTCTGCTTATGAAGATGCAGAAAAGAGGGGGGAAAGAGAAGAGACCAACTCTGGAGGAAGGAAGAGAAGTGAAAGTTTAGAGTGGGGGAGTTCCCTGCTTTCTGAAAATGTGTGACTCCTGCATGATTAAAGCTAAGGCTGAACTTAACCACAGATAAACAATAATTTAGAAAGAGGACATTCATTCTACAGGGAGTGAAATTGGGAATAGCTTGTATGCGCCATTCTTTCATCTTCCATTTTCTGCTGTGCCTCGATTCCTGTTCCTTCTTTGTCCCTTCTCTCCATAGTATTGGCCTGGTCCAGCCCTTGCTATTCTGTTATTTGAGGCAAAAAGAAATGAAAAGCTCCCTCCTATACATTGTACAAATGGCCAGATATTCCACTATGAATCTTATCTTCAGAACTGAAGATGGAATATTGCCCTTTGCTCCACCTGGACGTATCAGTTAGCATGGAGGATGCTGAACAGGCAGTAACAGCTTTCTCTTCTTTGCTATTGCTTCTGTCTAAGCAAGTACATTATATAGAGCTGGTCCTATTATTAGGTTGGTGCATCCCATTTAATCCTCAATACTTTCTAATCAGTTCCAGAAAGATTTTAGAACTGATTTTTGGATAAGGAAAGATAGTGGCCTTTATTCTTTATTTCATCCCTACTTTAAAGAGTTTCTGAGGATTCTGTCCAATGTACGTATATTTTTAATTCATTGAATCATCATCTATTTTATCTTAAAGTACCTGGATGGGATTTTAATTCCACTGGCAATAAAGCTGCTGTTTCAGACACTGTACATTAATAGGCATTTCATGCTAAGTACTATTTGGACTTCTTGATGTCATGACAAAATTGCCTATTATTGCTTCTGGTTCAATTCTCATGGTATATATATGTGTTTGAAAATTATTTTCATAACCTTCTCCTAAATTTTTAATGTTATAATTGTGATGCTACTTCTAGACCGAGAGAGATGTAAGCGTACGACAGAGAGCAGTGGATCTCCTGTATGCTATGTGTGACAGAAGCAATGCCCAACAAATTGTAGCCGAAATGCTGAATTATCTGGAAACGGCTGATTATTCTATTAGAGAAGAAATCGTAAGTTTTAAAAAATGTATCATAGCTTTCATTGGATGCTGTGCATGTAACATGACAAGTTTTTATTTTGTTTTGGTGATCTATATATCGTACTTAAGAATTTCAATAGCAACTAAACTTATTTCAAAAAAATAAAACAATGAAATTAGAAATGGTTTTGGGGCAGGAATTATTGTTACTAGTTGGAGTTTGAAATATGGTGCTCTGACAAATTATTCAAAGAAGTAACTAACAATGTAGGCACATTAGTTAGGGAATGATCATACATGGAGTTTAGTGTTATAGCAAGAATTCCTATTAAATTCAGCATCATTTTTCTTCTGAACAAAAAACTTAGTGCCAGCATTGCTCAGTTCATTAAACTGTGTATTCAAACTGCTCATTGTCCAAAAAAATTTTTTTGCGTTTGATTAGAATATTTGTAGAACTATGCTATCTCAGGCCTTTGTTATGAGTTCAGAGATAAGTGTTAGTTTGTGTTACTAAATGGCTATTTGTTTTTTTAACTGCTAAAATAAGAAGGTAATCCATATTCCTTCCTTCCTTCCTTCCTTCCTTCCTTCCTTCCTTCCTTCCTTCCTTCCTTCCTTCCTTCCTTCCTTCCTTCCTTCCTTTTCAGGTACTCAAAGTTGCAATTCTGGCTGAGAAATACGCAGTGGACTACACCTGGTATGTGGATACCATACTGAATTTGATTCGAATTGCCGGGGACTATGTTAGTGAAGAAGTATGGTACAGAGTAATTCAAATAGTAATTAACAGAGATGATGTGCAAGGATATGCTGCAAAGACAGTTTTTGAGGTAAGATTATTTTGTGGCAATCTTTTCTACTTGCAACCCATTGTAGTCTATAACAAAAACAAACTAGTTGTGTAATTTATGAATAGAAGACAAGTAGTTATGGGAGAAGCTATTTTAAATGGGACTTTTTTTTTAACTTCTTTTTTTTAATAAAGTTTTATTTGGGTTTTCACACATACAAAATACAAGTAAAACATCTTTTTTGAAAATAGCATGGTCCCGGATTGAACTTCTTTATACAGACACAAAACTCAATTTCATGCTCCTTTTTGTATTCTATTCCATATCTTATACTATTTTACATTTTCTATATAGTTTTTCCCCTCTTTTAATTTTCTCAATTTTATTTTGATTATCTCATCTCAATTCAAATCATTATAGTTATACTTTTGTCTGTTCTGTTTCAATTTCATATTATCTTTTTTCACTAAACAAATTTTCTCCTGTAGTTACTAATTGAAGTATGACACCTTTATATCTTTAAATTACATCCATTCAACTCTTATTTAAACTTCAATATATACCTTAAGGTTATGACGTTCAATATAATACATAACTTCCAATCGAATTCTGCTTGGTACATTCTTATAATACACACTATATTCTTTTTTTTTTTTAATGTAAATATATGTAATTATAAACCCTCATTCCATTCCAGTTCAATTCTATCATTAATAATCATTAAAATCTTAACATCTTTAACATTTCTTTTCAATTAAATATCATACTTCCTTAAAACACATATAATCTCCATAATTATTTTTTCCCTTATTTCTCTTCACATATGTTTTATAAATCATTAAATATATCTTTTATTACATTTATTTATTGACAAGCATTCCACTGAATTACGATAGCTATTTTATCAGACATTTTAATCATACATTGTTTCATATTTTCTAAAATTATTTCTGTTTCGAATATAACCATACTATCTTATGTACCGTTGCAGAATCCCTTTTTCCATTAAATTTTCACCCCTTCTCTCTAAATAGTCCCTGTTTCTCTATATTTTGTTTCTGTCCTTTATGACTTCTTTTCCTTTCTTTCTTCCCTCTCATCATCTCCCTCCCCTTTTTACCCCCTTGTCTCTCTCGTTCTAATTCTCTCTTCTGCATTTTCCTCTTCTGTTGCTTTCTGATTTTATACTTATTTTTCACTCTATTCTTTTTTTGGAGTTGTTTTTCCCAATCTTAAACTTTCCATTCTCTTTCCCTCCTTTCCTTTTTTTCTCTGATCTAAGATTACTTGTTCATTAAAGATAGCTTCTTCTTTGTCGCAATCTTCTTGTTCTGCAGGCATTTCTTGTTGTTTTTCATAATTCCAAATCTCCATTTCTAAAAACTGAAAGCCAAAATAACCTCTCCCTTCTTGTGCATCTTCTTTGTACTTTTTAAGTTCCATTTTCAGTTCTTCTAAAAGTGGAGCCATTTTAAACAATTTTAAACAACCACCCGATCGATTTTAGTCATTCAAAACAATAAACAAGAATCCAGAAATCATCAAGTAATCCAGATAGTCCCACGTTATATCTTCTTATTTCTTTTTCGACTTTCTGTTCCTGGGGTTTTTGTTGCGATATTTCAGTTAGAATGTATCTTTTGGAAGTCTTGTTGAGATTTTGCTGTAAGTTCTTTTTTAATTCCAGGCAGTCTCCTCCCTTCCAGATCCTGCCCTTTTATTCTTTTTCTCTCCGTTCCTGTTTTCAAAAGCTTTTAATTATCCAGAAATCTTTATTATCCCTTTGACTTTTTATTTTCAGCATTAAATGCATATTGATGTCAAAGTGGATTTTTTTCCCATTTCTTACTTAAGTCTCTTAGCTGCCAGTATAGGAAAAGGAGAAGAAAAAAAACAAATCTTTTTCCTTTTCTCTCTCCTTCGCAGCTTAAAAATCTTTTTAGGGAACAATGTTATTGTTTTTAATAGTTTCAATTCCAGGGTACCTTATTTGTTGCTTTTACTGTTTGGCCCGGTCAACCAAAACTTTCTCTTCTTATTTTCCTCCTGCACATTCTTTTCCGGTTGAGTTCTTCTTTGTGGTGGCCATTTCTGACCACCGCTGCAACCGCCTTTGGGAAAGGGAGTAATGGCCAGCTGGGGAGGAGAGATGCGGCTCTCCTCAACCCTGCAGGGAGTCTCCCCCCTCTTAACCACCTCTACGGGGTGGCTTAGCCCTGAAACCAGCCGGCTCGGGGCACTCCAGCGGTGAGCACGGATCGAAGCCTCACAGAGACAAGGTTTCGGTATGTTGCTGAAGAAGCTCAAACCGGAAGTCCGGGACTTTTTTTTTTACTTCTTGTATTTCTTCCTCCTTGCATTGTTTTATCAATTGATTTTTTTTAAAAAAAATCTGAATCTAAAACTTCTTCATAATTTTAGTATTTTTAGTATCATTTAATGTTAGTATGTACTTGTGAAACATTAATAGGTAGCTTGAAGTAGTATTTTTTGGTAAATGGGATAATAGCTTTCTAAAAGAAAGAAGAAATGGATTTGGTATCTGATGGTTTATTAGTTTAAAAAATCTGCAGTGTGATGACTTTTGTGAAAAGGTATTGTGCTTTTATGAATGTGCAACTTTACAAAGGGAGAGGCCAGGTGATGTTAGAAATTCATCCCGTCAAGACACTTCCATCATTTGAGGATATAGCATCCATATTGGCCTATTATAATTTTGAAGGTCTAATTTGGCTCCAGCAACCGTAGAGAGAAGCTCTAGGACTTATTTATCCTGGGCTCCAGTATTAAGAACAAAATTCTTCTGGTTGGACAACTGGTCATACAGATCTCAGCTTCTCTATCCTGATCAAAACCTGAATGGCACTTGTGAAGTTCAGCTAGTAATGAAGAGTCATATACTTGGAACTCTGCCTTGACCTGAAGATGGATGATAAAACCTTGCTTGGAGAGAGCTTTTATCAAAGTTACTGTATATGCTATTCTTAACAAGTGAAGGTGTTCTTATTGCAGGTAACAAGTCATCTTTCATGTGTCTAACCCCTAAGTAATGATCCATTTTTCTATCAAAAGCTATGACATACAAGGGACCATTTTTTATTACAATGTGTGGGGCTAAGGTCACTGGAGGGAATCGTCAGACTCAAAAGCAGGCAGGAAACTCAATTTTCTATTTCTATCTTATTTCCCCCCCTTTTTTTTCCTCCCAACTCAGTACATAGTTAGGGAAGGGACTGGGCATAACCTCTAGCAGCTCAATTAATTGCCTGCAAAAGTTTATTTTTATCCTAGTGTAATTGTAAAGGTGCAGAAAAGATGTATTTAAGAATGGAATTTATTTATTAAAAATAAATAACGTACTCTCTACTAAAGATAAATGATCATTATAAAGGTGTTTAACAAATGAAGTTGCTCTCCTGTGAAGTATCTTGTAAGTTATGTGATAAATTATTTTAAAATGTTCATTGTAGAATAGCTAATAAACATTTTAAAACTCTGTGTAATCAGTTGAGGAGGGTGGTGGGTGTTTCCTTACTTTTCAGTCTGTTTCCTTGAACAGACTTCTCTGGTTGATTTTGGGGGTAATCTTACCCTATGGATTAACTTTAATTATTAGGGGTTTCTTCTCATGGGTCTATTCCAAAGGCAGAATGTGGATCTAAATATAAATAAGTACACCTCTACAGTTTTTGGGAGAAAAAGCTAACAGGGTTACCAATAAATAATTTTTCCTGGTTGTATAATGTTTGTGTTCCTTATACATCTGGACCCAAAGAGGAGGTTACAATTAGAGTTCTTTATTAACCAAGGGTGATTGGACACACAAGGAATTTGTCTTGGTGCAAATGCTCTCAGTATACATAAAAAAAACATACATTCGTCAAGAGTCAAGAATCATAAGGTACAACACTTAATAATAGTCATATGGTATAATAAGCAATCAAATCATACTAGGAAACAGTCAGTATAGATCGTAAGGATACCAGCAACAAAGTAGTCACAAATAAGAGGGGATGGGTGATAAGGAGTGATGAGAAGATTAATAGTTATAGTAGTGCAGACTTTGTAAATAGTTGGAAAGTGTTGAGGGAATTATTTGTTTAGCATAGTTATGGCTTTTGAGGGAAAAAAAACTGTTCTTGTGTCTAGTTCTGGTGTGCAGTGCTCTATAGCATCGTTTTGAGGGTAGGAGTTGAAACAGTTTATGTCTGGGATGTGAGGGGTGTGTAAATATTTTCACAGCCCTCTTTTTGACTCGTGCAGTATACAGGTCCTCACTTGAAGGCAGGTTGGTAGTAATTGTTTTTTCTGAAGTCCTAATTATCTTCTGAAGTCTGTGTTTGTCCTTTTGATTTGCAGAACCAAACCAGACAGTTATAGAGGTGCAGATGATCAATAATTCCTCTGTAGAACTGTACTTTATGCACTGTAGGTTATGCACATAACAAGCCTGAAGATGATGAATGAGACTTCATCGAAACATTGCCTAGATACTGCCAATCTTACGCGGGAGAAAACCCGAATAACCAAAGATCCACATATACACACACACACACACACACACACACACACACACACACTTAAGTTTTCGTAGGTACTTACATGTATGGAATTCAGCTTTGTTCGGGTATTTTTCCACGTCGTTATAGTTGTGCTTTTAAAGTTGTAGCAAAGTTTCCGCAGAATCTCATCTGCCATCATGGGAAAATACCCGAACAAAGCTGAATACCATACATATAAATACCCATGAAAACTTAAGAAAACACACACACACACACACACACATATCATATTGGCCCAGATTTCTCTCCACATTTGTTGTTTATGTACACACTTTCCGAATTGGTAATATTTTTATGCTTCCCAAATGCCTTTTTCAACAGGCTCTCCAAGCACCAGCATGCCATGAAAACTTGGTCAAAGTGGGTGGCTACATTTTGGGAGAATTTGGAAACTTGATTGCTGGGGATCCAAGATCCAGGTAAAAACACTATAATATCACCTCTAGCATAATCACATATGACTAAGTGTGTGTTTGGCTCTAGTTATCCCAGTTCTAGTCCAAACCCCCAACCAGTATACCATTACTGACATTTTGAAAAATAGGATAACTATCTCCAGCATGATTCTGTGTAATCAGATTTTATTCAGATTATTCCTCTCATTAAAGCAGATGTAAGCAATGTGTTTGGGATAGTAGGCACCTCTACTATTTTTAGAGATATGATTGTAGCATACTAGTATCCTATTTCTTTAAAAAAAAAAAGAATATTTAAAAAATAAAGTTACAGTTTAAAAAAAAGCATGAGAATCAGGACAAATGTCCACAGATACACACAAATATAAGTTTGCCTGCCCCGGATCTGAATATTAAAACAATATAAACAATTAGAACTGAATAGTAGAAAAGCATGAATTAGAAATTTAAAATGCCGAGCAGCAGAAATGTCTTTGTTTCAAAATGTAATATTAGGATTTTCATGCTGAACTCCTTCCCCTTCCCCCCATCAAACAAATCATTGTTAGCCCTGATTCTGTTTTCTTTCTCTCACCAAGTCCTCTCATCCAGTTCAACCTGTTGCATTCAAAGTTCCATCTGTGCAGTGTACCAACTAGAGCACTACTTCTGTCTACTTACATCAAGTTTGTAAATTTATTTCCTGAGATAAAAACTACCGTTCAAGATGTATTGCGCAGTGACAGCCAACTAAAGAATGCTGATGTTGAGCTACAGCAGAGAGCTGTTGAGTACCTGAGGCTCAGTACAATTGCTAGTACTGATATTTTGGTATGTATGTATGTGTGGTTACATATATTTATAGATACGAACCCTACCTCCAAAAACAGAGTTCAGTATTTTTTTTATTTCTTAACAATTCTGCACTTAGTAGTGGTTTTGAAGGCAGTTGCGTATCTCTCTTCAACAGATTGCAGTGATGTCACCAGGGCCGAATTTGGGTGTGTATGTGTAAATCAGGGGCCTTCATACTTGACAGCTTTAAGGCTTGTGGACTTCAACTCCCAGAATTCCTCCTCCAGGCATGTTAGCGCAGGAATTCTGGGAGTTGAATCCCACAAGCCTTAAAGCTGTCAAGTTTGAAGGCCCTTGGTGTAGACCTTAGGCCCTGATAATTCAGGAAAGCTTCCATCCGCCCTTAGCAATTTGGAATCAGTGAATGGTGTGTAGGTAGTCCTTGACAATTGAGCCCAAAATTTCTTTTGCTAAGGGAGACATTTGTTAAGTGAGTTTGGCCCCATTCTACGACCTTTCTTGTCACAGCTGTTGAGTGAATCGCTGCAGTGGTAAAATTAGTAACATGGCCTGAATCTGGCTTCCCCCATTGACTTTGCTTATCAGAAGGTTGCAAAAGGGGATCGTGTGATCCTGGGACACGGCAAGCTTCATAAATAGCAGTCAGTTGCCAAGCACCTGAATTTTGATCCCATCACCATGGGGATGCTGCAGTGGTTGTAAGTGCAAAAAACAGTCGTAAGTTGCATATTTCAGTGCCGCTGTAACTTTGAACGGTCACTAAGTGAACTGTTGTAAGTCAAGGACTGCCTGTAGAGCTGCACTGGCCAGCTAGTTAAAAGCTACAGCAGCAGCCCACTATTCCTAAGCCAATGAGGCACTACTTGTAGATGCTCAGACAGTGTTGTCACAAAGCAAATACTTTTATGAAGTTTGTGCTCTTAAGGGCAGCGCCTGATTCCTTCAGTCATCTGCTGCTTACCACCTGAGCCGTGGTGGCGCAGTGGTTAGAGTACAGCACTGCAGGGCTACTTCTGCTGCCTGCCAGCTGCCTGCAATTTGACAGATCGAATCTCACCAGGCTCAAGGTTGACTCAGTCTTCCATCCTTCTGAGGTGGGTAAAATGAAGACCCAGATTGTTGGGGGCAGTAGGCTGACTCTGTAAACTGCTTAGAGAGGGCTGTAAAGCACTGTAAAGTGGTATATAAGTCGAAATGCTTATTACTATTGCTTACACCTTTTCTCTTTAGAATGATGCGTCGCTTCCAACGCTGCTGACTTGTTCAGCAGAGAAAAAGGGTGGAAACAGTGGTAAGGCAGAGAAAGTAAAAGTAGTGAAGAAAGAGGAGCTGCAGAGGGTGATATTCCCACTGTTTAAAACCAAGTCTAAGGGACTGAACCCAGAGCTCCTTTAAATGTTATGGGAGCACTGAGCAGTGATTTGCCTATTTAGCCAAAGAAAGGGCAACCTCTATCTTCTTTCTCCCTTCATGGTTTTTGGAATGTTGCAAATGGTACACATCTCCACACTTTCTCTGGTTGGCAATTTGTAATTGGTCCCACTTATAGTGATGCTCCTTTTCAGCAGCAGCTCCAGCCAGTTTCTACCTTGTCTCTACTTGTTGCTCTTGAACTATCTGTCCGCGTCCATTTTCTTTGCAGAGCTCCATTGCCAAGGGGACTCTGGAGTCAAGAAACCAGATTGACTGGCTTCCACACTTGACAGACATGGTCTCTGTGCTTGGTGTGACATCATTGAAGAGGGGAGAATTGGTGAACGTCTCCACTCTTTCCCAAGTGCAACCCAGAGGGCGAAAAATGGTTAATATGGTCAGAATTCAGGTGGCTTTCGGGACTTAAAAAAAGAGAGAAAGAGAGAGAGATCCACTCCTGACTTAGACAAAGATGTTGTTATATGTTAAGAGGTCAAAGCATGTTTCTTAACGTTTCCAAAATGTGGCTTGGTTTCTTTCTAAGGCAACTGTGCTAGAAGAAATGCCTCCATTTCCAGAGAGAGAATCCTCCATTCTAGCCAAGCTGAAAAAGAAAAAAGGTCCCAATACAGTTACTGATTTGGAAGAAACCAAAAAGGAAAGAAGCTCGGATATCAATGGTAGCACTGATGCCACCCTTGTAAATGCAAGCACAGCGGTAGGTTTATAGTATTTTGTGTTTGTTTGTTTTTTTGCTGTTTCAGAAGGGAATATCACCTTTGTGAGGACATTATTGCTTAAGAAATCCCAGACTTTTACTACACATTGCCAATAATGTGATTATTATTTATTCTGGCCTTTACATGCCTTTAATTTTATGTGTTTTATTACTGCAATCTTATTTTAACATTTTATAACTATTTTCTGAGAGATAATTTATAACCTCCCTCTCGCCAAGAAAACATCATTTATTTTTTTATCATATATAAATCATGCTTTGCTTAATAAATATAAATATTTCCAGAGCAGGACTTAGTTTGTGTATGCAAAGTCACACACTCAGTTAATATTGATCACTAGACTCACAAATAGAAAAATACAAAATGACAACCCAAGAATGTCTTATGAGTGAATACAGAAATACCTAGTTTCCCCATATTTCCTGTACTTTTAGCTGCTACTATTCTTAGACTGACACCTGAATTGATAGTTTTAATTCCATATTAGGGTTTGCATTCATTTTGTGTGTAGCGAGCAGTGCATGTGGGCTTTTTCCTTTACATTCCTACCCTCAGAAACTCTGAATCTGTTGCTCAAGTTTAGCATCAACAGCACTCAAAAGTCCTGCTTGATCAGATTCTGCAGCTGGAGAGCTACTCGTGTTCAGGTACTCCAAAGAGAAGCTGCCCTTGGACTTTTCCAGTCAAATCCGAAGGGTCCAAATACGGGAGGCCAAAATAGAATGTGTGGGAATAGAAATTGGGAATCCTGCCTATATCTTTTCCACATGGAATCTGCACATTTTCAGAGACACATGAAAAGAGATCTTCAGTTTTATTATGACCATTCACTTTGGAGGCAGACTAGTTTCTTCCGTTTACTTTAATCTGTCTCTCCCCCCCCCCCCCCCCCCCGTGTGAGTCTGTGTGTCTGTACTAAGTTAAGGATTTTTTTAAAAAAACATTAGTACCATATTTATTTTAAAGGTAATATAGAAAAGCAGTGGTTTTCAAATTAGCAACTTTAAAATGTGTGGATCTCAGTCCCCAGATCTGTCCAGGCAGGAAGTTGAAATTGCTTAGTTGAAGGCCAAGTATCTTAAAGTTGTCAAGTTTGAAAAACATTGGTATAGCGCCTGATTTTTCATAAACAGAAAGGTGGGGGGGAGAAGGTGTCTTGGCTCTGTATTTTCTTTGGCATTTAAAACACTGGTTGTTTCTTGCAGTCTACTCCATCTCCTTCAGCAGACCTGTTAGGTCTTGGTGCAGCTGCAGTCACAAATTCTGTTCCTGCAACATCAAGCGGTAGCTTGTTAGTGGATGTCTTTTCAGACAATTCTACAAATCCGGCATCACTTGCTCCTGGTTCCGAAGACAACTTTGCAAGGCATGTGATAAATCAGTACTCCCGTTTCTTCTCTTCTTATTCCTCCCAGGTTTTACCCAATGTAGTTCTTCTCTAGTTCCATGAGGTTACAAAACTGTTTGTCATTTTAAGTGTCATTGACTTGTTTTTCCAAAAATAGAATTGGCTAATTTCTGTATCCTCCAGATGATAGGCTGGATTATTGCCATAGAGAAAGAACCAGCTCTAGAGTAGACTTGGCAGTTTCTATTGGTATAGAGCTCTTGGTTAACACAAATGTTCATTCAGTCCTGTGTACCATGAATGTACATGTTTCCACATATGTTATTAGTACAGTTAAATATTTTAACAAGATTACCTACTCTGCTTAGAATAATTTTTCTATAATTGGAAAACATTTTCTCCTCTAGGGTGAAAATTCAATCTGTAATCTATCTAGATTTGTATGTCTTCTATTACTCTTGAGTACATCTTTATGTGTATTTCCTCTCCAGGAAAGACTGGAAGAATGTATATAATTGTTTAAATATAATTTCACCAATGCAGCTATTTCTTCTAGGTTTGTTTGCAAAAACAATGGGGTCCTGTTTGAGAATCAGTTACTACAGATTGGTCTGAAATCTGAATTTCGTCAGAACTTGGGTGAGTTGATGGGTTGCAATGAGCTGAAATTGTGATAATTTCTGTCTTAGATCTCTTTTTAAAAAGTTATAATGTTTTTCAGTTTAAAGATAATTTCTTTGATTCCTAAAGAGTTCCCCATAAAGAAAGTTTCCCTCGGTAAGTGAAGATTTTCAGAGATGCCACGTGTATCCTATCACTTGATGAGTAGAAAGCTTCTGTAACTAAGAGCCACATACAGGAGGTCCTCAGTTAATAACAGTAATTTCTGTTGCTCAGCAATGTGGTCATAAAGCTCAATGTTGTATGACCCCATAACTTAGCAATAATAATCCCATTGCTGTTGTTAAGCAAGGTTGTTGAGGATTGTTAAGCAAGAACCTCACAGGACAGCAACACAAGAAAAAGTGGAAATCCAGAGGTGTTTGCTTATGCTGTTGAAATTGCATCTCAGTCAAGCAGACTGGCGGGCGAGAGATAAGAGTGGGTGGATCAGCGCTACAGAGTATGGGCAGGTGCTATAGGTCCAAGATCCCCTGGAGAAAAAGCAGCTGGAGCAACTTTCAGGAATGACTTGTGACCTTCTGCAAGCTTCCTCATTGACTTTGCTTGTAAGAAGCCAGCAGGGAAAGAGGTAAATGATAATCATGTGATTGCAAGATGTTGCAACCATCTTAATGGCAAGTCAATTGCCAAAGGTCCAAATTGCAATCACTTGACTATGGGAATGCTGCACCAGCCATAACTTTGAGGACTGGGGGTAAGTCCTTCAACACCATTTTTAATTTCAAACAGTCACTGAAGGAATGGAGGTAATGTGAGCATTACATATATTTTAAAACTATCTGTAATGGTTTCCATGTTTCCCAAATATCCATCAAGCCCATAGCATTTATTTTGAAAACACAAATAGCCATTCATTTTCTGCTCAAAAACTCCCTTCACAATTTCACATAAATGTATTTTCATGAGTTTTTTTTAAAAGTTCTCAGTGGACTTCATCGGTAATGTGGATCGTATGATTAAGATATTTTCTTCTTTCTTCTAGGCCGTATGTTCATATTTTATGGCAATAAAACCTCCACACCATTTTTAAATTTTGTTCCAACGTTAATCTGTTCAGATGATCTTCAGTCAAATATCCTTTGTTACTTATATAAACGGGCTATATTATATTCTAGACTACAAGAACACAATGATTCCTTGTTAGTTTAGTACAATGGTCTCGCTGCTTTGTTTGCCTGGCATATGGCTTTAAAGAGCAGAAAAAATGCACAAAAAGAAAAACTTTCAATTAGTAATATAATTATAAGAAACAATAATAAACTAGTCTTGAGATTGTGCTTGTGTAAAGGAAAATGAATGCAATTTTTATTTAGGAGAGAGCATAATGCAAAGAGAGATTCAGCTGCTTGAATCTGTCAACAGGTAAAATGTATGATGTTTTCTTCCATTAAGGAAAGAGAGAAAATGAGAATCTGAGCTGCACAGTCAGAAAAGAAAGAGAGCTGAACTGAAAGTAAGTTATGGAAGTGCTGAGAATATCAACCCAACTAATAAGAGAGATATGCAAAGTATGTCTTTTAGACAAGGAAAGGAGATATAAGTGCAGGATCCCTTTCCTAACCATCTCTATGTATATTGGTCAGTGATCTACCAGCAGAAGGCTTGTGGTTGCATTCTGACCTGTGTTTCTAAGTCAAAGACCACAGAGTAAGAGATGACAAAAAACAATTATGTTTAGAAGGCAGATAGATCTCTTGCCTCTTCTATAATGAATCCTATGCAAACGTATACTTTTTGAATTAATTTGTATTCATTCCTAGTGATTTCATGGACAAATATGCACTAACTTGATCTGTCTATAGCAATAATTTTTAAGTCTTCTAACAACATCCTAGCAATCTCTTTAATCCCAAATATACACTTAATCTATTTATTTCCCTTCCACTTATCTTAACCTTGCCAAGCCTTTCTGAACAGATTCAATCTTCGCAAGGTTCAGCAAAAGAACAACAGAAAACAAATCTCTTTCCTTAACCTATCACGTCTGAATCTGCAGACTAAACCTGTTGACCCCACTGTAGAAGGAGGCGCTCAAGTGCAACAGATTGTAAATATTGAGTGTATATCAGACTTCATGGAAGCGCCAGCCTTAAACATTCAATTCAGGTATAATTGTTTAACTCTGAACATTGTTTTTCATTTAAGTGCCCTTCTAGAGGAATATCTGCAGTAATCCATTTCTATGAGCACAAAAAAGTATACTTTGTGACCTTAAAGATTAGCTTATTGATGATGGCATAAACTTTTGTGGCCTTTGGATATATAAAGCATAATCCTGGAAGGGGTGTTGAGCAAACATTTGAAAAAAAGAAATGAAAGAGGAACAAAAAGGAGTAAGTTAACTATTAGCAGCAGCTATTCACAAAACTTGGGATGGTTCTGCCACAGGAATTATTTGAAGGGAGTAATATTATCATTTATTTCCGCTTCATACATGGGTAGATTAAACATTTTGATGAATTTTAGTTGAACTATTTCATGAGGAAATAAGCTTGACGTTATTTTGTACAAAAATAACCTTGAGGCCAGGTGCAAACTTCCTGTGAAGTGTTCTCCACATCCCCCTCGTGAGTATTATTTATCACACCGCCATTTTTAGAATAAGTAGGTATCACTGTTGACATCTCTGCTTTTCATTTCTCTCTTAATTTATTGAGTCACACAAGCCCTTCCACCACAGGAATATTCACTTTGAATTTTCCTTCATCTGTTGGAGAATATCCTATAAAACCTTCTGCCATCAGGCAACACCTTGGAAGCATAGAATCTGATTGCTTGGCCTGGTCATTTAAACAGGGCCTGGCCTGCTAAGAGTCCCCACTCCTTGCAAGTTCATGGGTATGGACAGGATGGCAATCATTCTCAGTGGTGACCTCCCACTTTAATGGGAAATCTCCCTTCCTGGAAACACATGAATCTACTACATTGATTACTTTTTGTAAGCAAGTGAAAAATATTGTCTTCCAATATGCCTTAACTGAGATTATTGGGATCGGCAAAAGTAATTTACTTACTATGCTGACTTTAAATTTTGTATTGTGTAGCACCTATTATTTGAAAGTGGAGAGTTGAGGATCCAGTTTGGGATAGCTACTGCCAAGATACTTGTTTAAAACAATAGCCTGCTTTTTTAGGGAGGGGAGGTAATGATATTATTTTAAAAGGTGTAATTGGGTCAAATGGTTTAAGAACCAGCGCTTATGAAACCAAGGAAAGATTTGGATGGATTGTGTGCGCCTCTAGATTGCTTAGATTGCCTTTAAAAGTTTGTCATTGCTGTTTCCAGATATGGAGGAACTTTACAAAACATCTCCGTGAAGCTACCTATCACACTGAACAAATTTTTCCAGCCGACAGAAATGGCTGCTAACGACTTCTTCCAGAGATGGAAACAACTGAGCAAGTAAAATTATTTTAATCTTGCATGTTCTTCATTATTATGTGCTATATTACTTTTTTGCAGGTTGTAACTTGGATTTTAGTGAACACTGAGACCTAGCTCAAATGAAAAAGGAACCTCTTTAGACCTAAATTCACAAAGGAGAATATTTGTAACTCAGGGTTGAAATGAGGGAACTTTGGTGCTGTCTGATCTTGGTTGTTTTCTTGCAGGTATTTCATTACCCAAATTTGGTAACATGTTGTTGTTGATGATGATGAGATTAACTAGATTGGGTAATGAAACATCTGCAAGAAAACAACCAAGCTCAGAGAGCACCAAGGATGCCTTGTAAATTCATGATTTGTTTCTGTAGGAGCCAGATTTGAAACTCCACTTTCTTTTTCTCCGCAATAGCTTCACCTTTGAAGCTATTTTTTTGACTATTTCTGACTACTTCCCTAAGTTCTCATTAATTTGGGGAGTGATTTGATATGTGATCTGTTTAAAAAACCTACCATTTTGCAGCCACATATGTTGCCTTTTCTCACTCAGAGTTCCAATATGCCACTGGTTGCATACTACTCTCTAACTTTCTTCTATCTCATTATTCTTCCGGGAATATTAGTCCCAAACTGTAGTACTCATTTATGATAAGGAGATAAGTCAAACAGAAAGAAGCCTGCTACATTTGAGTGAGGCATTCCAGTTAGAAGCTGTGCCTGGGCTAATACAGTCTATAAGTGTGGTTTATTTTAATTTGATTGGGTATGTCACAGTGATTCACAATACGTTCATACAACTTACTAAAGACAACTAAACTACATTAAGATTTAGTATCGTACGTGAACCCAGTGAATATCTCTTTGGTTTCTGTGACTCCAGCCTATCATAAATGTTCTCTTATGTGGCTCATGTGTGAAATCAATGTAAGAAAAGGAAAGAAGAGATTTAAATAAATGTTTAAACAAGCGTTATATTGGCCATGCTATTTCAGAAATTTAGAATGTCAATATCAGAACTCACATATTCATCTTTAGTTAGGAAACATTCATACATTGTCAGAAACAGAATGATTCAATTAATTGTTCCAGGTTTAGTATAGAATACAATAGAATACTTTATTGGCCAAGTGTGATTGGACACGCAAGGAATTTGTCTTGGTGTAAATAAATAAATAAATATAACATGGACTACTTTAGATCCTATCTTTTAAGGGGTTAAAATTAAATATAGAATTGTTTAATAAATAGTGAGCATTAATATAACAATCTTTCTGCATGTCCATTTATTTTGATGTTGGCTGAATTCCTGGAAAATATTTGACACTTCTTCCATCTCTTATCTATATATCCATATATTCCATCTTTCTATCCATACAGCTAAAGAGCAGCTTACCTAAGGATACCTGTTTTTGGTTCATTGGTTAGCTCGTTGCTATGCAAATCCTATAAGATTCATTGTTTAGGAGAAATGCTACAAACTTGCATGTAATACATTGCTACTTCCATGTAAAATGTGTTTACATTCTGTCATAAACATTTTGCTGCTGCAATATAATAAATATGAGCTACTAATATCGACTCTTGATGTTCTTCATAGCCCTCAACAAGAAGTACAGAATATCTTTAAAGCAAACCATCCAATGGATGCTGAAATTACAAAGGCAAAAGTAAGTATAATGATTTATCTTGCCTGGACGGTTATAATTCGCCTTCCAGCACAGCTGCCTTTGTGACTTCAGAACTTTATAATCATGGAAAATAGCCATTGCCTTTAATCTGTTTTTAAAAACACCTGATAATGATAATAAAGTTAAAGCTATGGACATAACAGCTTACACATCTATGCTTTTTTAAAATAAATGTCTGGACACTAGGAGACAAAACAGCATGAGACTCGGTTACTTGGTAATTGTATGGTAGGAAATTTGCTTTGCTTCTTACATAAACACATGGAAACAGCCAAAGTTTTGTTCTACCAACATAGGTATTCAGGTTCTTCTTAATTTTGGTATCTCTTTTTCCTTTGCCTCTTGAAGGATTCTGTTTTATTCATTAAGAAGCAGAAATCGGTTGTGCTTGTGCTTACCAAAATAAAAAGGTGCTTTAAAAAAAATTAAACTATCAGATCTAAAAAAGATAGAAGGAATTTATAGGTTTATTTCTTCACTAGTGGCCTTTTGTTAATCAACAGCTATTCAAAATAGTGCACTATACACTATGTACATTCTGAAAACCTTTGAAATGCATCATTCCCTTGTCTATATTTCATTAGTTGATTCTCAAATGTGGAAGCTGTTTCTCCAGGAAACAAAAACTAGATTGTATCAAATTATTCCTTTTCACTATCAATTATTTTTGTCTCTTAGTGCCCAAGTCAGCATTATTTATGTCTAAATAATGGTTGATTTGTAGTTGATTTGTTAGTTTATTTTATCTGGGAAAGTTGGTTTGGGTATTTGATTTTGCCATAGCACCATGTTTCTTTCTTTACTCTAAATGTCTGCATTCTCCCTAATATGGAAGCTATCTGAGCCTTAATCAACTGTATAGATAATCAGAGTTGGACGGGACCTTGTAGGTCATCTAGTCCAACCCCCCGCCCAAGCGGGAGACCCTACACCATTTCTGACAAATTGCAGTCCAATCCCTCCTTGGACTGTGTGTTTAGCATTCTGATCAATCTATCATAAACATTTTATATGTCCTTCCTTCCTTCCTTTCTCCATCTGCATGTTGTCCAATGGCTTTCAATTCGATTAAGTAAAATTAAGTGAGTCATCTTTTAAGGAGGTATATTAAATTAAATCCTCTTTTACAGATCATTGGCTTTGGCACAGCTCTACTGGAAGAAGTGGATCCTAACCCTGCTAACTTTGTAGGTGCTGGCATAATACACACGAAATCAATACAAATTGGATGTTTGATGCGTCTTGAACCCAACCTTCAGGCAGAGGTAATCCCTGTTTATTTGCTTGTCAAACCAAAAGCGTGTATCATATGAAAGACCCTTACTTTTTCCCATGTGTATTTTTACAGAAATCTTGTCTTCTAAAGTAAATAGAAATTCTACTGTTTTTTTTATTGCATTAGTAAGAAATATTCTTTCTCCTTTTGTTCACAAAATGCAGACATAGTGCTTCATTGAAGATTGTGCTCTAACAATATACATGCTGAGTGGTGTCGACTAAGACAATGCATACATATATTTTATAGCTCTCCCAATACTAGCTTTGCCTTGTATTCATCGCACAGAGTTTCTGCAAAATTACATTCAGAGTGTAATATTAATCAGGAAGGTCAATTACATTGGGTTTTGTTTTGCTTTTTTGTACTGTAAATTCTCCAGGTGAAACTGAAAACCTCTTGAACTTCTATTTTCTTATTTCAGACTGATTATTTTCCTTTTTAATTTTGTGACGACTTAACTGAAGTGGCTTTCCATTCCATATATCTTATGTGCACCAGGGAATAAACTTTATTTTTTGCCCAAATGTATGGACTTGTAAATATTGTGATACATGATTGTACAACATGCAGCACTGTAACTCGTGATATATTAAATTTGGATGATGTAAAATGTTTTGACTAATAACCAGAATTTTTTTGGGAGGGGGAGCAGAGGAGGCAGGAAAAGATTGCTGAGTGAGGAAGAAGTCTTAATATGGGATTCCCAGCTAAAGCAGAGTTATGCAACATCTTTAAGTCAGTGAGCATATTTGGAATTTTGGAAGCAATTTATAGGTACTGTACCTTGAAAAAGGGGTTGTGATGCCCATGTCCCAGAAGGACAAAGATATTTCTCACTGTCAGTGATCTATACTATCCATTTCTATTTTTTCTGGACATACAACTACCAGTCACTTCTATTTTCTAAGAATATCTAATGTTCTAAGAATGTAAGTAAAGGTAAAGCTTGACAATGATGCTTAATTCTGCAGCTCAGATCATTTTCTTTAATTCTAAATGCAGGTAATCCTACTGATTACTATCGAACTCTTTTATTTAAAAAATAGCCTCTTTTCTCCTTAAGCTAAAAATCTTCTTCAGAAGTTCAGACTAGATAGGTTTGCCTCCACTGCAATTCTTTTTTTATCTTAAATATCAAACCACCTTACGATTCTAAAACATCTAAAATTGTTACAGAAAACCCTTACAAACAGCGTAGGAATTTGGGCAATTTTAAAACCGTTTTTAAATAAAATGTATTTTTTAATTATTTTTCAGATGTACCGACTAACATTGCGAACAAGTAAAGAAACAGTCTCACGAAGATTATGCGAATTGTTGTCAGAACAGTTCTGAATCTTAACTCAAGACCAGCTTTGATTCTTTATTTCTGCCTGTTTTTCTCGTCCTACTCCAGGAATGTCCTGTGCACCAGTGTCTGCATAAATAACTGCCATCACATTCACATTCCTGCCTTAAAGGACCTGTCCCTCTTATGTGAATAAAAGATGTGTGTAATGTAAAGTTACCTAAATGTGAAAAATATTTCTGGCACAAGGAGGCCAAGAGGCATTGTGTTTGTCACCTCAACTATTTCAGGCATTTTGTCAGAAGTTGGTTTTATGATGACTTACTTTGATTAACAATGATCTAAATAAAAGGTGTTTGAATTTTCCCCCTGGAAATTCCAATGTAAATTGCTAGTAATGTTGTGGTCACTTCTCCTATCCCTGTATTGCCCCAGCAGTAATCAGTAAAGTTCTGTTTGATGAGACTGTGAGTAGCCATCTTGCTGCTGAACTCTTTGTCAGTCTTAGACAGATCAACTTTTGAGAATGTCCAAAATGCATCAATGTAATGTGATGGGAAGTCAGGACTACTGTAATGGATCTCACAGATGTTGGCTTTTTCAAAATAGGCAATGGGCATTGACCTTGAGTACAGTACACATAGGCATTAGGGTATTATTTCCCCCTACCTCAAGCAATTTGTTTTAAACAGCTTTAATTCACCCTTTCATTTCCTCCAAATTATGAATTACCAAAGAGTAAATTTCTCATCAAACGCTGGAATAAAAGGATTAGAATAATTAGATTCACTGTTTCTAGAGAACACTAGTTAATCCATTGTTCATTTGGATTGTAAAGTTTTTTTAAAAAAAAATCACATGGAGCTACACTAAAAATTTCCCAGAGAATCTATGTTTCTATATTCTCTAGCCCTGGCTGTTATTACTGATAGGCAATTTCGATGTAATATTTTTGTTAGCATATGGGTGGGTCACACAGATACAGACGTCCAGTATATTCAGGTCCTAAGTAAATCGTTAGCTTTTGAAAGTATAATGGTCTGATAATTGCTTTTTTGACATCACAAAGTTGGGTGCACTATTTTCAAAAAGTCTAGCAATGATATGGTCTACTTGGCATGAGATATGCATTTGTAATATATTATAGAAATTCAGCCTGACGTCCTTTTCAGCTAGTAGAAATAAGTTTCAATCACACTTCTCTGAAATGATTCTAAAATGGTTAGCACAGTCACTCAGTAAAGCAAGAAAAAATAAGCAATTATATCTATATTGCAATAAATGTCCTTGGGAGTTTAATCAGCTTCTTTTTTTAAAGATAAAATTGCATGTCTAAGCCAGACAGGACTATTATCCAGATTCCTCTAATTTGAGTACTGAATTACTGTTTTTTTGCAAACTTCTTAAGGTAGCTTTGTTGGGCTCCACTGAATTAACACATTTTGATAAATGAAATGGCATTAATTTGGTCATGTAATAAAACTAGGATAACTTCCAATATTCTCCTTTGACTGGAGAAATTCTAAGAGTGATGATCACAATGAACAGATTAATGCGTTCTCATTTTTCACATGGAACCTGAAGCCATTAAAACAAGGGATAATTAGAAGCTTGTCATATAACATATTAAAAAGATCTGCCATTTAACTTTTAAAGAGGCAGATCTGAAAGCACTGTGGTTGCATATATTTAATACCATGGCAAAGCACTGATGGTCTTCCCTGTGCAGTTGTGAGCAAATGTCCATAAAATGATGAAGATTCCAAATCAGTTGTTCATATTATTTTTGTTCTCCTAATGGGGAACAGAATTGAAGTATAGGTATATACAATTTATTGGGATAAGTTACTTGATTACCAAAGTTATATATCCTCTTTATCAACCAGAAGTACTTTTTGTGGCTAAAACAGTATTAGTAATCCAAGTGCAGTATTTGTTATTGACATGTGAAAGATTCCTCAACTGGAAGATGAAATGCTGTAAACTTAGGTCTACACTCCGGTATCTATGTATAACCATTTCAGTATATGAAAAGTGAATTTTCAGCTTATATGGTCAACTTTCATTATAAGTGTATGAATCTGAAAATACATAACTCTAATCATGTTACCTTTAGCAGAAAAAATAAATGGCTAGAAGACTAAAATTATGTTTCTTCGTTCTCAATTTTAAGAACTTTCAATGTGCCTTTTTTTTTTAAAAAAAAAAATCTCTTTTCACACCATTGTGAAATCACAGCTGCCTGTTGTTTAGCCTGAGTTGGTCTTTACTCACTTAGTTCTCCCCAAAAACCTAGGATGTTGTAATAGATCAGTGTGGTGTAAATGTATCTTTATTATTATGGTTGATCACAGTCAAATGTTTAGATTGGATTTTACATTTTTATCCACATATTTATTGGGAAAGGCAAATATTTGATGGTGTTAAAAGTATCATCACAGGATTGTTGCAAGTAAAGCTGCCTTTTGCAATTTACTATGGTGATTTTGTCAGTGCCAATGATGGTGCTTCAGACATTTTGGGATTGCACTCAATTTGCTATTGCTATTGATACTATCTTTGCTTTCTTTTCCCACAATTGTACTACTTCTATTTGTAGGTCTTTATATTTTATAATTTTCTCTGGTTCTTTCTTTTCTGTTTTGCTGTCTTGAAGTTTTTAAGTCTGGGGTGTCATGACAGGGGCTTGTTTGTTTGAATTCTGAAGCACTTTAGCCTCTTCATTTTCTATTACAGGTAGTCCTCAGGTTATGAAGATAATGGAGTCTGCCCATTATAGTTGCAAGTCATGGTCATTAAGCAAGGCACCACTTTGGGGGCCCTACAAGCTTTGGTTTGGCTTCCCCCCCCATACATAGTCTTCGTCGGCTTTTGATCTACTACCAGCCAGCCACTCACCTCCCAAGGGAGCTGTAGGCTCGCTCAAAGGCTAGTGGGGCATGAAAAACTGTTCCAGCTTGCAAGATTCAATCTGCTCCTCAGCTAGCTCCAGAACCCCATAGCATCCCGTTTACCTTTTAACTTCTGATAGAGACACCCAGTTGATGTGTGAGGCTCAGATTTCCTATAGAGGCTGCCTTGCACCATTCAACATTTGTTCATGTGTATGCAAAGATGAACAGGTCACCAAATTCTGATACATACTCCTCCTTTGGAAGCATGCACTCTCAGCTTATCAAAATATAGATAGTTCTCACTGATCACACCTGGAATCAGCAGCTTGGTGGTTAAGCAATGCAATTGTTAAGTGAAACCATAATTGTGCTTAACGATACTAGTTCAACTTTCCTTCACAGACTTGCAAAGTTCTGCAGGAATGGCAAGAGGATTGGTCATAACTTATTTTTTTCATCACTGTCTTAATTGCGAATTATTGCTAAACAAGGACTACCTGTTAATTCTTCTTGGAAACTGATCCTGACTTGGAATCCATTTTTTAGAGCAGGGGTGTCAAACTGGCGGCCCGTGGGCTGGATATGTCACACTCCGCAAATGGAAACGTCATGTGATGGCAACGTGATATGGCGAGTTTGACCCCGTGTTATGAACATGCTAAGAAATTGATTACTTTCAACTAATTTGAATATAATTTGGCTGTATTGTTGCTTTTATAGAAAAAACGTGGCTTATGCTTTCAACATACATCTTCCATTTGATTAATGATGTTGCTTTATTATGCTCCTATCCAAATGGCTTTCCACAGTATATTCTCATGGAATGCTTTTGCACATGTACACTACATGACCTTCGATAATAAAGCTGTTTCTGAGAATTGCATCCAGAAATTCCTGCTGAAGACTTTTCAAAAATACTCCATTCGATTCAATTCCATTCTATTCCATTTCGTTGTTGTTGTTCCTCTTCTCCAAATATTTGATTCCCAGAAATGGTACTAAACTTAATTATAGCAGCTAGATATCCTCGATTATTTTATTATGTGTTATCTTGCAGTGAAGAAGGTGTTTGTTTTTTACTTCTGTAAGTCGTCTGCTCTGTATCACGAAAGGTTCCATTTGGACAATACAAAAGTGGGCATTTGAAGAATGAATTTGCCACTAGATTATAGGATTAGGAAGGTATAGCTTCTCTCAGTTATTCACCATTAGAAACTGAAAAGCCAGTTAATGCTTTTATTAAAACAGTCAATTATTTTACACAGGTAGACATTAGTTTGATGAAAGCCTTATAAATAAGGCAAAAATTCATTTCATTTCCCTATCTTCCAAATAATAAATTAACATAATTTGTTATCAGCATTGCTCTTAAAAGAGTGGCTGTCTTCTCAGTCTTCGGACAAATTAATGTAAACAAAGGGAGTCTTAATTTCAGACTAGGTATAATGTAAATAGCAACTAATGGTTTATTTTAAATATTGCTTCAGGGTGATACTGAATTTGGCTAGTGTATACATCCTTCTACTCTGCATACACATTCACCAAATATAAGGATATGTGTAAAAAGTGGTTCACGCGGGTTATCTGGATTTGGGCATGGCATTTCTATTTCCTTCTTGTAGGAAGTTTGTGGCGTGCAGCATTTGCATAGTTTTTCTATCCTTGCATTCTTCTGCCTGTGAATAAGAAAAAGTCTTATTTTTGAAGAGGTATGCATGTATTTGCCAAGTTAATTAGTTTAAAAATACAGAAATTGTTTCCTTGGATATTGTAAATGTATGGAATGATTAATAATTAACACTAATACAATTGGCTAATTGCAGTTTGACTTATATACCGCTTTACAGTGCTTTTCAGCCCTCTCTAAGGGTTTAACAGAGTCAGCCTATTGCCCCCAGCAATCTGGGTCCTCACTGTACCAACCTCGGAAGGATGGGAAGGCTTGAGCTAGTCAGGATCAAGACTGCATTCTAACCACTGCACCACCACAGCTCTAAGTAGCTAACAGGCAAATAGTTCGATATAGAGCACATTGTACCACTTTCTGTACATAAAGATACCCTAAACTTAAAAAATACATTGTCAGTGAGAATTCTTTACATATTTTAATGTAAAAAATGTTGTATGGATGTGTGTGTATCCCTATGTGAGAGATGGTAGCTGTTCTGGTTCGCTGGCAGCAGTTGCAGACGGCTGAGGTCTCTGAGAGCAAGGACTTGGATGAGGGGCCTGTGTGTGATGCGGGGATGGGGCCACGACTATTAGAGAGTGGAGTGCTGCCTTCGGAGCGTGTGGAGCCTGGCAGCAGTGATGCAGAGGACCCTGAGGAGCCTGTGTCCAGTGCGCGTGCATGCAGGGCTGCTTAAAGGAAAGAGCAGCTGCAGCAGCACAGGCGACTCGGGAGTAAGGCTGCAAGGTGATGGCCCCTCCCATAAGGGATAAAAGCCATCCCTCAAGGGTTGGGTTCTTTGCAGGAAGCAAAGAAGTTCTTTCAATTTCAAGTTCTTGTGGAAGTCCTGTCTATTCTGGTTTGTTTCCAGAGACTTGGTTTTGGATATTTCCCTGCAATTAATCTTGTGTTCTTGGCAGCCTTTCACAACATTGAAAGGGCTTGCTTTTATTTGGGACAATTAGTTTTAATGATTCTGAATGTGAATGGACAGAATTCACAGAGACACATTAAAAAGGTTTGCTTTTATATATACTTTGTGTTTATTTGATTTGAACGAGGCTTGGGTCAGAACAGTAGCCCTTTGAAAAGTGTCTAAAAATGCTTCTAAAAGATTTAATCGTCGTGAAAGGGAAACATACTTTTACATTTTTCTGAGTACTATGTGGAATATCACACATGCTTACACGACATACTATTTCCTTCCAGTGACCCAGTCAGCTTTTTTAACCTAGTTAAATAATACTATACCAAATTATGCTATACCAAGGGTCTACAGCCAGGCTGTGGCCTACTTGGAACTGCATGAGTGGTGGGCCAGGACACGTGCACGCACCTGTACAGCTAAACTTGTGTAAGTTGAGATGCGTGCGCAAATGTGGGCACACCGACCCTCCGCTCATGTGACCCAGTTCCCCTCCCAAGCTGCAAAGGTTAGGGACCATTGCACTATAGGTGATCCTCATTTAATGACCACTCATTCAGTGACTGTTTGGACTTACGATGGCAATCAATGAGTAGTGCTTATGACTAGTTCTTGTACTTAGAGTGTGATCATGATCCAGGAGATCAACATTTGGCTTGCAGTCATGACATTGCAGTGTCTTGCAGTGATGTGATCACCATTTGCAACCTTCACTGTTGGCTTCCAACAAACAAAGTCAGTGGGGAAGCTGGCAAGTGGTTAGAAATGGTGATCCTGTGACTTTGTACTTAACAATGTTGTGTGATTCATGTAAGGATGGCCACCAGACGTGCCGGAACTCCTATCACTAAACAGAGTGATTTCATGATGTTGTGCCTTTCAACAGCATTGCTTAGCAATGGAAATTCCAGTCTAGATTATTGTTGTTAAGTGAGGATTAGGTGTAGGTGAAACTACTAAACTACAGGAACTTTGGGAAAAGTGTGGTCAGATTATAGTTGGGGATTAGAGTTTTTCTTGTATCGATCATTATAGATGAGCAAAAATAATCTACCACTGACATATAAGCTATAGCTGGAAAAATAAATTGAAGTATTTTACTAATATGACTTCTAATCAAGTAGTAGGCCTTATGGTTGCTGGAAAATATGCAATATTATTTTGTTTACCTTGATGATGATGGACACATGCCTTCACAGCGGGTTAAAGTAACATTTGAAACACAACCCCTGTAAAACACTTGTTCTTCATATTCAACAATGCTACATGTTTCTGTAAAACATTAAAAACAGCAATTAATGTAAGTGTAAGAACTCTGTTTTCTTTTGGCATTAATGAGGATTTGGGCTTGTATGTATCCTTACTACAAAGAGCTATTGCCACAGAACGCTAATACACAATGCAGCAAAGAAGATAGTAACCACTAGATTTTACTACTGTTAATCTTTGATTTAAACAATAAATGCAGTCCTAATTGCTAAAGATCACATATTAAACACAATAATGACAAACAATTATTTGGGTTTGGAGAGTTGGTCATAAAATATGAGTGATAGTTTTCTTGGCAAAACTATATTATTTTAGATAAAGGTAAAAGTTTCCTAGCCAGTCATGTCTAACTCTATGGGGCAGTGCTCATCTCCGTTTCTTAGCCAAGGGAG